GCCACTACGAAAATCAATGTGGATGTCCCTCAGAAAGCTGAGATTTGATCCACCACAATCTGGCTCTTGGGCACATACCTAAAAAACTGTACATTGTACTACATAATACTTGCTCATCCACACTAAAGGCCTTTTGAAAAGATATATGAAAGCCTACTGCTATAGAAGCTATTGGGGGAGGCAAGCGTTCCAACTAGACAACTTATACCACTAAGTAAGACCCCATTTGAGATTATATCTTGTCGAGTTATTGACCAAAGGAGTCCCAAAACCCCTCCCCCAAACATCACAGGCTATTGGTTATCCCCTACAATCAGACAGTAAGAACCCATTACTCAAGTCAACACGTACTTATGTCACGAACATGGAAAAACTGAGTTGGTACCCAACTGGAGGGCACCTGTATTCACAAGTATTCCCAAAGCACAGTGCTGGAAGGTACTCATAATGCTACTGGAGGAAAACAATTCCACCTAACTACAAACCATCACATTTTGCATGGACTTAAGGCCCACCTCATGGATAGAACCCATAACTGGTACTGCTCATGAGGCTAAAAATCTGAGACCAGACAGGTCATAGGCCCTAGGGAAAAACCCACAACTGGAAAATGTTCAGAGAGTAAGAGACTTAGGAGAAACTCAGTCCCTAAAAGGATGCCTTTATCCAGCTCTCCTCCCAAGGCTGGGGATTTGTGCAGAACAGGAGGTGAAAAGATAGCAACAGCCAGAGGTAGTGGACAATTCCAAGGTAACAGCATCTTCCAGACACAAAGGGCTTATACACACACGAACGCAGAGATTTTAATAGCATGCATAAGACCTGCACAAATTCAAGCAAGACAAAAATGCCAGCACAGAGAAGGCAAAGCAGGCACAATGTGTCACTCCTTAACAAGAAGCCATGTACAACTGCCTTGCTGGGACAAGAAAAAAATCAGTGTTCGCCATGTTGTGACACTGGGTAAATCAACCGCACTCTAGGGTAGTTCCATGAGTAGGAGTAGTTAGCCAAATGCACACCTGAGACTAGAAAAATGAGTGGTCACTAATGGAGTAACACTAGGTAAGTCAACCACACTCTAGAGCAGGTCCCACGATCAGGAGTAGTTGGTCAAATGGACTCTGTATTTTTATGTGCTTTGTGTTTTGCTTTAGTTTGGCTTGATACTTGTTATTTAGTTTTGCTTTGATACTTGTTTTTTTGTTCGCCTTTCTCTTTTTGAGAGAGAAAACATATGAAGCTGTGTGCACAGCTAGGTAGGGAAGATCTGGGATGAGTTGTAGGGTAAAAAGAATATGACCAAATTTTATTATACAAGACTTAAAAATTAAAGAAATAATTAAGAATAGAAATTCCCAAAGGATTTTCTAAGGTGACTATAAATTGTATATTTCTATTGTGTTTATCAATGTTTATCATTATTCTGGCACTGAGTCACATACAGCAAATAAAAAATTCCTCTCCATTGCAATCTTATTATGTTTGAAACAAATTCATGGACATTATTTTGTATTTATATACACTATTTTTAGATCACTTAACCTCAGATAGTAAGATAAGTTAAGTGTTTTTTGAGAACTTCATTCTGAACTAAAAAAGAAAACCATAACAAATTTGCAGAGTTCTGAGTGAAATACGCCCAGATTTTTTTTATTTCACAGTTAAGAAAAAAAATCCATTTATGTTTGGGAAATTTTTCCCAGTTTAAAAAAACAAAATCATATTTTGATCTCACTTTTCTAAGTGTGGTTTTAGTTTTTAAAATACTAAAAAGTTCAAAATATAACAGCATTATAATTTAACAATGTTAAATTATAAACAAAAATTGTCAAGGAGAATTTTTTACCTTGTATCATTAATGTGCTTCTTATTGCTTTGTTTGTTTGTTTTTTGAGACAGTTTCTCTTTGTAGCTTTGGCTATCCAGGCACTTGCTCTATAGACCAGGTTGACCTCAAACTCACAGAGATTCACTTGTCTCTGCCTTCTGAGGTCTGGGATTAATAGCCACCTCTTGGTGATTAATGTGCTTTTAAAAAGAAACAAAATATATGTGATATTTTGAGTCATATCTAAAATGATAAAGTAGGAAGAAATATACTAGTATTTCAGAAAAAAAAGTTGTTTGAAAGAAGCAATTATGTCATTATGTTATGTTATTAGGAGGCTTCTATTCCCACTTATATTTCCAGTGGAAGTACCCTACAGTAAGTTTCCATAGCTGGAGAAATGCTAAGAGGTATGCATAGCTTTTATATCTGGCTTACCCTATGATCAAAATGGAACAAGAATTAATTGTAAGAGCATTTTTCCAAAGTTTTGGTGCTGTCCATGTTATCTAGCGCAAAGACTGAAGCAGCCTTGAATTATGTCAATTTCCAATAAGCTAACATGCATGGAGAGGCCCCCATGTAACAGAAGTAGCAGCAGCTATACACGTCTCAGAAAGCCAATGTAAGTGACTTGCCCAAGAAACACTGAAGTAGTGATCTGTTTTAATAACCTTCCAAATAGTGCAGATGGAAGTCCTGGAGGGCGAAGCAATAGTTTACCACCAAAAGGTACTAGTGCATTCTACTTAAAGGCCCTAGAACAAGATTTTATGGTTGGGAGTATCTGAGGAAGGATAATACTGACATGTGCTTACAACATTTCATTATCATAAACTTTCAGAACTCCTGAATTTCTGACAAGACTAGCCAAATACTGCTTCTACAAGTACTACAAGAAATATGGGCTAAGCCTAGCGGTGGTGGCACACACCTTTAATCGCAGCACTCAGGAAGCAGAGGCAGACAGATCTCTGTGAGTTCGAGGCCAGTCAGGTCTACATAGAAAAACCCTGTCTCGAAAAACCAAAAGGAAAAATAAAGGAATATGGGTTAATTTAAATTTATGAGTTAGCTATGTGTGGTTACTTGAGAGCAATTTGTGGGACAGGAAAACTCCACCTTCAGGGATGTGCAAGGCTTGTGCCACCCCAACAAAGACCAGGTCCCAGTACCCCTACTATTGATAACTGCTGGCTGATGAGATGGGAGAGCCAGCTTTCTCTAAGTGTGTGCCCCTGAAAGTAGAGCGTGCTCCAGTGGAAACCTACACTTCTGAAAATATTTAGGAAGCACAAAATGGTTTTGATGGGTTAAAAAAATGCAATGTTGAAAGAGTAGGACATTAGGAGAGTACCTGGGAATGATTGGAGGATGGGGGATGAATATAACCAAAACATATTGAACGGGATTCTCAAAGAACTAATAAATTTTTTGAAACTCAGTTGCAGCAAAAATAAAACTAAAGAACAAGAGAACAATTGAAGGAATAAATCTTTGATCAATATTAAAATTTTTTCCAACCTAAAAAAGCACTTTAAATGGTATTTAAAAATCAACAAGTTTCCTTTACATGTTTAACATAGTTTTTGAAAGTCAGGAAGATCCATAAAGTCTTTTAAAAGGATAAAGGGCTGAAAAATCGTTGTAATAACCTTGAATTGGCATTATGGCTGCCCTGAGGACATTTCTGCCTACTAAGGACCTGCACCATAATAGCAGGATGAAGAACAGAAGCTCATCCTTGACTGTCTCCACAGAGCTGGGGCAACCATGACCACATAAAAGCAAAACACTGAAAGTTTAACCCTGAAAAAACACATACAAAAGTCCCATCCAGCAACAAATGTGGATGATCTCAGCTCCAAATAAGGAAGGACAGACAGAACTGGAAGCTAAAAGGCTAATGATTAGAGTCCTAAGTTCTATGTTTGGAGATGCTTGAAAGGAGGAAATATTAACTCTGTGAGATTTATCCTTAACCCAAAACTGTTGAGAACCACAGATTAAGGTAACAACAAACTGAATTCACACTCCCACATTGTTAAATCCACAGAAAAGTAATTAGGAGTGCACTCACCAGAAGTAATAATAGCAGAATTAGAACTCCATGAATATCAACTATTACAGTAAGTACCAACATAAAAATTATAAAATCAAGAAACTAAAATAGGATCATAATTTATTTAAAACAAGCCAAATATAATTCACGATAATAAAATATATAATCGTTCAAATAAACACCAAGCAGTAAAGAGATAGTCCTTTAAAACAAGATTTTAAACAGTTGAGGAAAGAATTATAAATTACTAGATGATGGATGGTAGTCATCAGCTCCCCATTTTAGCAGCCATGACAAGTTACCATGGGCTTGCATGATCTTGCCACTCCTGTCCTGGTCACTAGGAAGCCAGATGCCCTCCTCGTGCAAGAAACCAATCAGAAGTTAGCTTGCAGGGAGGTGCATTAGGACTCTGGGTGCGCATTACAGACTGTGCACAACAGTGACATGAAGAGCATAACAACCGCCCTGGGAGGGCCTATGGGCCATAACAACCAGATAACCAATCAACACAAGGAAGGTTGTCCAAACCTGGAAGCGCACCAATGCTGAGACTGTTTCAAACCCCTAGACACTCCCCTTACACTACCCTTTAAGATCCCTGCCTTAAGATTGCTTGGGGTCTTTCTCCAGCCATCCGCCATGGTGGACAGATGAAGAGCCGGGGATAATGGGTTTAGCTCGTTAAATAACTTCAATAAAAGACTCTTAGCTTTTACATCGAAATGGGCCTCTTGATGATTTTGGGGTTCAGAATTTGGGCACAACAGGATAAATTTTCTTAGTTTTTATTAAGTGTGAAAAATAGAATTGTAGTGGTTGATGATGTCATTTGTATATTCTAAAATATAATACTTAGGATTTGTTTTAAAACATGTCATCAAAGAAAAAGAATTCACGAACTCAAAGTAGGAAAATGTGGAAAACATTAAATCTGAGTGATATGAAATTCTAAAAGTAAAGAAGAAATGAAAACTCACTGGATATTAAATATATTACTGAAATATTAAATACAGATAAAGACATTTTGAGTATGGGAAGATGACTCTGAAGTGAGTATACAGATTGAACGTAAAATCTTACACCAACAAGCAAACCAAAGCTCACCTTCTTTTGGGCTGACAGCAGCAGGAAGGCTGTTCCAGTCAAGGGTCCAAGACGGACAAGGGTGCGGAGAAAACAATGCTTCAATGCCTGTTTCCTAGAAAAGGAAGTAAGCTTTCCAAGTTAGTTCACCAATAAAATCCTGTTTTCAAAGACCACAGTTCTATTTTTTATACTAACAAAGATAATTAAAAATTAATCATGTGTGTACCAAATATTTAGTTACATAAAAAATAGAGAATGCTATAAAAAATATAAAATGTCTGTTTAAAATGTTATTTTGAAATCAGTACATTCCTATTACTTTTTAATTATGGTAATAAAAAGTAATGCTGAAAACATGTAAAAGTATTAATCCAATAAATATACTAGGTAGGGACTAGAGAAATGGCTCAGGAGTTAAAAGCATGTGTTACTCTTGCAGAGGACCTGGGTCTGGTTCCCACCGCCCACATGGTGGTTCACAACCATCCTTGACACCAGTTGCAGGAATCTAAAGTCTTCTTCTGACCTCCTCTGGCATTAGGCAAGCATGTGGTGCACATACATACAAAACACCTACACATAAATAAATAATATACATGCTATAATAGAAAAAATCACTTGAAAACAAAATAAGTTTATTAAAATAAATTTATAGAGATTATTAAAAAACCCTGACCTTCCAATGTCTATCAATATCTATCTTTATGCATGACAACAACTTATTTAAACTACACTTAGTGTACCCAAAAGATGACAACATAACTCATAACTCAGACAATCACTCTAATAGTTTATTTGATCATAGTATCTCTAATAGGTCCTAAAATTTTAAAGAAAAACTTTTTAAATTCATTAAATTGTCTTTCAGTGTTCTTTCCTGTGTTAGAAATTATGCATCTAAACCTAAGCTTGGTGAAACACTGCTTTAATCTCAGCACTTGGATCAGGAAATGAAGGCTAACCTGAGTTACATAAGATCCATCTCAAACCAACCAACAACCCAAATTTGTAAATTTATTATTTGTTCTATAGACAGTGGCATAGCAAATACACAGATTTATAGTCTTCCAATCACAACATGTGAGTCTACATCTACTGTTCAGATATCATCTCTAGGAAGCCTATTAAAAGACAATTTATAACCAAGGATAGTGATGTATATCTGTAAGCCTCAGCACTACAAAGTAGGAGAATCACTTGAACCCACAAGTCAGGCCAGAGTAGGAAATATTAAGAACCCTCATCTTTCCCAAAAGGAAACAAAACATAATAAAGCAAGCAAAATACAATAAAAGTTGGTGACATTCACCTTTAACTTCCTTATAACAGTTATTCATGAGATTACTTTCCATTATGAAACCTAATTTGGGCCCCCCCCACAAAAAGCAAACAATCAATTTACTAGGGAAACAAGTATAACTATAGATCTAGAAATAAAGTACTCAGTAGTTTCTGGAAGAATAAACAAACACATCTCTCTGAAATCACTTATCACATTTCTGTTGCCTTTTCTCTGAGTTTGTTATCACCCATTTCTAATCTTATTCCGACTTTAGGGTCTAAAAAAAAAAACTAGCTGGGCATTGGTGGTGCATGCCTTTAATCACAGCACTCGGGAGGCAGAGGCAGGTGGATCTCTGTGAGTTCAAGGCCAGCCTGGTCTATAGAGTGAGTTCTAGGACAGCCTCCAAAACAATACAGAGAAACCCTGTATCAAAAAAACAAAACAAAACAAAAAAACTATATTGAGATGCTACTTGTACATATACACAAAAATGTACCATCCTCAAGTATACACACTTTGGAAAGTAAATTGAAGTACACATTTCTCTATTTTTTAATCTTTAAATTTAATTTAATGATTTATTTAAATTTTATTTCTTTAAATTTAACTTTAAATCATCATCTTAAATTTAAAGACTGCAACCTCCCAGAACAATACAGGTTATTGCCATTACATTTGGCTACTTCCCAGAACTTAATGGCAAGACCTGATTGTTGAAGATACCACACACTTCAGAGACAGGATTTGGAGGGAGTGAGCTAGAACTGACCTGGAAGCTTCCTCCCTGAGGATTATCTTTGATAGTATCTGTAGTTACCATGCAAGCTACCAAGGAAGAAGCAATCAACAGTTCTACTTAGCTGTAATGGCCATGAACCACAAAAGTGACCAGCATGAAAGATACTCACAAAGGTACAATAGTTGTGTCTTTAAAAATAGCTATCTAATTGGACTTAAAGCCTGTTCATTGGTAGAGAAGTCATGCCTAAGACTGTAAACATAGCCAACTACCCGTGTCTGGAGGTCATGGACTCTATAGGAGAACCCACTACTGCCTAACATAATTATAAATGCTTACCCTTAAACCTAAAGATAAGGGTAGCCTCATCCCTAATCAAAAATGCTTCTGTTTGCAGCAGATGTAGGCTATTACAGAAATCCACAACTGGTCAAAATATAAAGGGTAAGAGTTCATTGTGTGTCCAACCCCAGTTGATACAACTACAACACAAGGCCTAAGTCTCAGAAAGCATTGAGGAAGGTACAGATTATAAAATTCAGGGGGCTAGTATGTTATCTTCAAAATAGTATCTTCTATACATGATAAAGAAACTGTTCCCATGTAATTGTCAAGCCAACCTCAGATGGAGGAAATACTACAAGGCCTAATCCCAGATGACAACCTACGGGCACTTATAGCTGCTGCAAGAGAAAGCAAGAATCAGTTTTCCCCCAGGAACGAGTTCCCTGATAGGTTATCCAATCCCAAGTGGACACCCTAAATACATATACATACAAGAAACACTAAATGGATTCATTGGGGTTTTTGTTTTATTTGGGGATTTTTTTTGTGTATGTGTATGTGAAGGTGAGGATGTAATGATATCACTAAACCCAAGATAAAAGATAAATGGGTGTTTATTGGGGAACAATTACACCGAAAAATACAAAGAACTGTGGGAGCATTTCCCTGTGCTTCCTACTGGATCCTCTGATCCACCAAGGAAAATTACTCCTCAAGCTCCTCTCTTTCAGCTGTCATCTGCCTGAGACCACACCCAAGGAGGTATGGCTACCATTACAATTCCACTGACAAGATGCCTATATGTACATATGTGGTTGGTTGTGTGCGTGTGTGCACGCGTGCGTGCATGAGTGTGTGTGTGTGTGTGTGTGTGTGTAAAAAGAATAATTAAAGGCCATGAATTTGAGAAGTGGAGTGACACAGAAAAAGTTGGAGAAGAAAGAGGGAAGTAGAAATGATACAAATGTAGTACTCATGTAAAAAAATCCTCAAAAAATTAGAATTAAAAAAATAATAAAGAATTTAAAAAATAATGACACTCGTATGAAGATAAAGATTATGCTGTTAGTCTAATCAGACTAAAAAGCATTAACTCAACAAATAATTAAAATAAAAACTGAGATCAAAGTTCTCTAAAATAGAAAGCTTGGTTAAAATGATACGCTTGACCAGATATGATGCTACATTACTCTACAATGTTAACATTTAAACATGTTTTAAAAAAAATACTACTTTTAAACTATGCATTTTGACTTGCTTTCAAAGACAAATGGCATTAAAGCTATTCAATTTATTGTGGTTTATTTGAATACAAAAAAAAGCAGAACTATTATTTGATAAATAATGATATGAATAGTTATATGAAAAATGTGTAATAGATGATTCCAGAAAATGATTACTAGTTGGGAAAGAATAGTCAAAGGGACTTTCTTTTTTTTTTAAAGAAAACTAATAAAACAAGCTAAATACCATTAACTTGGTCATGGTTGGTCTTGGTCCTCCTATAAATAAAGGATCACTTGGTTCCTCTACAGATGTCACCTCATCAGGGTTCAGGTGTGGTTTACTTTCAGAATTCAGCAATTCTGGTAAATACAAAAAGTGGATGCCACACTTAGCAGCTGCTGTTTTTACTTTTGGCACTTGCTGAATCCTCTGATACCAAGAGGTTAGCAGTGGAAACTGTTCCAGCTTCTCAGAAAATTTCTTGGAAATAATTACCTGGAAAAGAAAAAATGATATTTTAAGATACATATTTTTGACTCTGTAACAGTAGCAATGAAGTATCACATTATCATAAAACTCACACATCTCAAAGGTACAATTCCAATGAACTTCAGGAAATTCAAAAGACTGTCCAACTGTCACCATGACCCAGCTTTAGCTCTAAGACACCGTAACCCTGACAATTTGCAGAGTACTTCCGCACTCACAAACAGTTACAGGTAGCCAGTGAACGGTTTTCTGTTTACAATGCTGCCTTTCATGAAAGTTAACATAATCATAAAAATATCTGTCTTTTCACTTAGCAGTGTGTCTCCAATATTCACTCATATTAGTTTATCAGTACTTTGCCTTCTTTATTAGTAGTAACAGTCATTGTAAAGAGCCAGTCTACTAAACTTACCTGGTAATTCAGTAGTTGATGGACACCGGCATGTTACTAGGTATTGGTTGCCATGAAGAGAACTGGTAGGTTGAAACTACTGAATTATTCTCCATGATGGGTATGACATTTTATATCCCCATGATGGAGATTTCCATTACTTCATGTATATTTTAATTTTTATTTATTTTTATTTTTAATTATTTTAATGATACAAGTGTCTGAGTACAGGCACTTGACTGTTACCCATGGCAGTATGTGGAGGTCAGAGGACAAACACAGAAAAATACTACTTCTCTTTCATAAGCTCCTAGCTCCCAAATAATGAAGACCAAAGATGGTGAGATTACTCAAATGTCAAAAGATTTCCAAGTCACACAATAAAAAGGAATCAATAATCATGCAAAGGACCCAAATAAGCAGATGAACTAGGCAAGAAAATAGTTTTAGGATCCAGACAAGAAAGTAACCAAAGTAAATGAAATAATTAGTAACCTGGAAAAGAAAAAAAAATCAGTAAGGAAATTGAGGCTCTGAACAAGAACTAAATTCTTGAAATAAAAGGATCAATTTATCAAATAAAAACACAGTAGGAAGGTTCTTTGGAGGCTAAAGAGATAGTTTAGTGGATAAAGTGCTTCTTATACAAGCAGAAAAACATCTCTCTCTCTCTCTCTCACACACACACACACAAAGCATGTGCACATACATCATCATCAAGAAGAAGAAACAAGACAAAGAGACAGAACAAATTTCAGGGACAGAGAAAAAGTCATGACAAAAATAAATTCAGAAGTACAGATGTTACCAAAACTTCAAGATACATTCATGCAACTAAACCCAAGAATGAAAATGGTAAAAGAAAACCTGAGACAAAATATAAATTCATAGGCAGTTAATTCAATAAAATTATAACAGACACAAGAAAGGGATAGACATCCAAATCAAGATGCATTTATAGGTCCTTAATCGTTATGATCAGAGAAGGATCTCTACATAAAATATCAGAGTCAAGATGTCCAAAAATACAAAGCAAAGAATCAGTGTTGAAAGGTCTAAGGGGAAAATGCCAACTCACACACAGAGGCAGAAACATCAGAATAACGAGCAATTCTTAAAGCCAAGAAAACATGGAATGATTTATTTCAAGCCACGAAAGTAAGTAGCTGTCAACCAGGATTTCTATAAATAGCAAGATTATCTTTTAGAATGGAGGGAGAAATAAAAGCAGTTCAAGAAAAGCACAAATTAAAGCAATTCATGTCAGCCACACCAGCACTGGAGAAAATTCTTTAAGTAACACTATAAACAGAAGAGAAAGACAGACAATTTCACATAAAACAAGTAGGAAAGAACACATTCCATGAAAGCAACAGAAGAACGAAGGACTGTGAGAAATTAACTGTCTAACACAGCAGAAAAAGTAAAAATAATCCAACCAACCAGAACCACCAAACCACGTCACAGGAAGTAACAAATCTCTCTCAATAATGACTTTATTTGCAAATGGATTCACCAGTTAAAAAGATATAGACTGATTAGATTTAAAACAAACAAAACAGTATCTAACTGCTTTCTTTTTTTCTAAGAAATATGCTTAGCTGGCAAAAATGTCCAAAAACTGAGTCAAAGGAAGCAAGGCAACCTACTAAGAAAATAAAAGCAGTAAGAGAGCTTACAATAGGATTTTCACATCTGCTAATGTAGACTTCAAAGCAAAACGAGCAGAAGAGAAAAGGGCGACAACTGCATGTTAATACAAACAACAATCATCAAGAAGACAACAATTGTAAACATTTTGCACTGAATCTTTCAGTTTCCTAAAACCACGAAGGGCACCAAAGGTCACAAAGGTCCTGATACAATAGTAGTACGAGACTTCAATATCCTGCTCATATTTAGATACCTATTCCCACTAATAATCAGTGAAGAAATTATACTACATTAGCTCAACTGTTTCAACAGATATCTACAATATTTATTCCATCTAAGAAACAGGGAACACATATTCTTCCCAGGGGTACATGAAACCTACTCTTAAATTGATCACATTACAGACCACAAAGCAAGATTCCACAAATACAATAAAGAAAAAAATGCATCTCATCAGATCATAGCGAAATAAAACTAGAAAGCACCTGCAAAAGAAATCTCAGAAACTACACAGACAACGGAGACTGAAAAATACACATTTGAATGAATACGGCCATTGAGGAAATCTGGAAGAATATTTAAAAAGTTCTAGGATCAAATGAAAACATAACACATTCAGCCAGAATCCCCTGAGATTTTCCTTAACGGAAAGCTTACAGCTCATTAAAAACAAAACAAAACAAAACAAAAAACAGATACCCTAATCATCCAACTCAAGATTCTATAAAAAGAAGCCAAACTAAAATGCATTAGATGGTTCTTAAAGGATAGCAAGATGAGTCGGGCAGTGGTGATAGCAAGATGAAACAAATCCAAAGAGAGCCCAAAACAGCAAACAAGAGGTGAAAGACAGCAGTAAGAACAGGGTCCAACAATCCTCCAACCAGATGATCATTAGGGAATACTATGAAGATGTAGCTTTGAAAAAGCTGGAAAGTCTAGAAGAAATGGGTTTCTATACCTATATGATTATCAAAATTAAAAAAAGATAGAAACAATTATAAAAGATCAAAACAAACAAAGGAGTTAAAAGAGTATTTTAGGTTTTTATTGCTGTGATAAAACATCATGATCAAGGCAGCTTACATCCTGACTAGCAAGTGGGGGGGGGGGGCAGGCACTGGGAATTGTGCAAGTCTTTTGAAATCTCAAAGCCCACCCCTAGTGACACACCTCCACCAACAAGGTCAAAACCGATCAAAGACCTCAATTTAAAATCTAAAATGCTAAAACTGGTATGAAAAAACACATAAAAAACATTTCAAAACCTAGGCATAGGAAAGAATTTTCCAAACAAAACTCCAATAGTAATCTCAAGAAGTAATCTCAAGATCCGAAAAACTGCACTGCATGAAATTAAAATCCTTGCACAGCAAAGGAAAACATCAGTAGAGGGAAAAGTCAGCCTGAAGAATGGGATGAAATATTTATCTAACTAAACTTCAGATGGGAGTTAAGAGAACTGCACAAGGTAAACACAAAATCTTTCAGCTGGGTGTTAGGTGCATGCCTTCGTGAGGCAGAGGCAGGTGGATCTAGTAGGTATGAGACTTGCATCATCTACAGAGGGAGTTCCAGAAGCCAGGACTACACAGCGAACCCTGTCTTGAAAAAACAAGATAAAATAACACGAACAAAATTTACCAGTCAGAATATGAGCTAATGAACTGAATAGACAGCTCCCAAAAGAAGAAATAGAAATGGCCAAGAAATATTTTAGAAGTTTCACCATGCTCAGCCATCAGCCAATGCGTTTGAAGGCCACTTTGAGATTTCATCTTTCCCTAGTCAAAACGGCTATTATTAAGAAAACAAATAACAAAATGCTGGTCAGAATGGCAGAAGGAAAATCTCTAACTTATTGCTGGTGAGAAGGTAGACAGGCACAGCCACCACACTAACAATCAATATGGGGCTGGAAAGTAGCTTAGCAGGGAAGAGCACTTGTTGTACAAGCTTGAGGACCTAAGTTTGACTCCCCAGGAAAATGAAAAGGCAAGGCAGGGGAGGGAATAAGAAAGAGAGGATTGCCGGGCGGTGGTGGCGCACACCTTTAATCCCAGCACTCGGGAGGCAGAGGCAGGCGGATCTCTGTGAGTTCGAGGCTGGGCTGGACCGACAGCCTCCAAAACAATACAGAGAAACCCTGTCTCGTAAAAACCAAAACCAAAACCAAAAAAAAAAAAAAAAAAAGAGAGAGAGAGAGAGAGAGAGGATTGCTGGGGCTTGCTGATGACCAGCCTAGGCCAAAGTTCACTAAGAGATACTATCTGTGACATCATTCTCTGGCCTCTCTGTGACACACACACACACACACACCCCACATACACAGTCAGTATGTAAGTTCTCCCAAAACCTAAAAACTAAACTACCATAAGACCCAGCTGCACCAGTCCTGGACACGTACTCAAAGGACTCTAAATCCAACTATAGGGATACTTACACATTCCTGTTTGTTTGTACACTATTTAAACAGCCAGGAAATAGAATCAGTATCAATGTCCATCAAAAGATAAATGGATAATGAAAATTGTAATACATGTACACAATGGATCTTATTTAGCTGTAAAGAGAAATGGAATTGGCAGGAAAATATATACATTTGGAAATTATTGTATTGAGATAAAAAGACTCAGAAAAACACCTATTACATGTTCTCTTTCACATAATTCTTAGATTTTAATTCTTACTTATGTGAAAGAGGTATAACATATATTATGTTAGTAAACTGTCATGTGCCACTTGAGCTCACTGAGACCCAAGGATGTTTGTTTGTCTTCAAGGGTCCTCTAAAGCCTTTTGTTTGGGGATGGGCTGCCACTTATTTCTGTGACAGGGAGAAGAGAAAAACAAAAACAGCCCAGGAGTGAAACATATTGTACTCAAGAGAATAACTAGAAGGTAAATTAGTTCCAACAGACTTTGCTAATTCTTGTCTCAAAATATAAAATGCCTACATGGTGGCTAGACAGATGGCTCTTCATTTAAGAGTACTTGCTGCTCTTCCTGAGGACCCGAGTTCAGTTCCCAGCACCCAGGGGGAGCATCTCAAAACTTCCAGTAACTGCATCATTTAAAATGACTCAGAGGAGGAAAATATAACACAAACAACATCAAGATGAATTCCTGAAAGAAAATGTGCAAATCCAGGAAAAATATGAAGGAATAAAGGAAAATTATTTTAGATATTAAATGTCATTAAAACAATGGACTGTGAATATAGCTTAGTTGACAGAGTGCTTGCCTAGCATTCAAGAAGCCCTAGTTTGAATCCCTCACCGTGTACTGGGTGTAGTGATACATACCACTATTCCAATATTTGGAAGGAAGAGGCAGGAGGAGGATCAGAAGTTCAAAGTCATCCTCAGCTAGGTAAGAAATCTAAGGCTAACCTAGGATATATGTGTCTCTGTTTCAAAACCATGTAATAGAAAACAGTAAGTATGTATTTTCACTTTGTTTCTTAATAGTTTTCTAAGCTTATTACTATTGGATGTACATGGTATGAGTGTTTCAGCACAGGCATGCTTATGCCAAGACATGTTTGTGGAGGTCAGAGGATGGCTTTCAGACATCTGTTCTTTCCTTCTACTGTGGGTGTCATGGATAGAACTCAGTTTGTCTTGCTCACATAGAACATGCCAATTTACTCACTAAGCCATTTCACTGGCCAGTCTTGCTCTATTTTAAAGCCAGCGCTCCTCTGAAGCATCAGACTTACTCAGTAATAGTCAACTTCATATTCTACCTGATTACAGATGGGAAAAATCTTGTCAGTTAGAAATGCTTTGGCTTTGATTAATCCCAATCAAGTAAATGGCATTTAAATTCATCTAAAATGAAATGCAAATCATCCAAGATGAATGGGGCCATCTGGAAGACCTAAAGTCACCTTCATGCAGGTGAATCCAATTTGGGTTTTGCTTTCTTGAATTAAAAATCAAATACTCTTATTTTCCCTGTAGCATTTAACATTACTTTATATAAATATTATTTGTTTGTTTACTGGTTCATTTCTTCGTTCCCCTAACTAGAAAATTAGCTCCAATGACTTCTGGGATCTTAACTGCTTTGCTCTGCACTGCATTCCTAGGACTTAGAACAGTACAGCTCCCAACATATACATGTTCAGTAAAGTCTACAAATAATGAGTGTACCTCTATGAACTCTCAAAGATTTAAAAACACAAATGCCAAATTTTTCAAAATATATGACTACTCTAAAGATTGATGTGTATAGTAATAAAAGGGAAGAATCAGAGATAAATGAGACTAGAAATCACTCAATAGGAAAAGACAGTCATAGGACATTTAAAATACCAATCAGTGCCTAAATGGTTCCCAAATCTGTCTTTTTCCATGATGATTAATTCTGAACTAATTTTGGTTGCTGTTCTTGTTTCATTTTACTTTTGACAACAAAACAAAAGGTTTCTTAAGAAAATAATTTCTCCACACTGTACAAACTCCCAATTTACAGATTTTCATTACAAGTCTTTTTTTCCACCTTCCAATGGAGACAGGATGATATATAATAAGAACAAAGTCTTGTTTCTGGGTCCTTATTAGGGAAAAGAGGAACAAGCTTCAGAGTAGGAAAAATGCAGCTATAAAGAACCAACTGGAAGGCTGCAAAATCTAGTCTGCCTTGTACGTTATAGCAATTTCACCTGGTTCCCCCCACCCTGCCCCCAGAGTGATAGATAGGTAGGTAGGTAGATAGATAGATAGATACATACATACATACATGCGCGCACGCGCGCGCGCGCGCACACACACACACACACACACACACTACTAGGAAAGAAAACATCACATCTAAATTATCCCATACCATTGAAAAGCAAACAATTTTAGAGAGAGGTATTCAAGTGAGGGAAAAAAATTCTGATTTGATAATGCTCAGTATAATGGTTAGTATTTTAATTGACAATTTTATTATAAAATATAGCTGAGAAGTGTTTTTAATTTTTAGTCTTTTCTTAGTTTTATAATACTGGAATTAATAATATCATAAAGATAATTATAATAGCAAAGTTATCAATAATATCAGTCACTAACATTTTAGCAAGTCAAAATTAACCATAATTTTCTTCATTCCTTACATCAATCACATTACATCAGTTTTTCATCACTTTAACAAAATTACTGAGGGCTGGAGAGATGGCTCAGGGGTTAAGAGCACTGCTTGCTCTTCCAAAGGTACTGAGTTCAATTCCCAGCACCTACATGGTGGCTCACAACCATCTATAATGAGATCAGGTACCCTCTTCTGGTGAGCTAGATTAAATACATGCAGACACTGTATATGTGATAAATAAATCTTTTAAAAAAGTAAATTACCAAGATAATAAACTGCTGTGAAATAATCTTTTGATACACTGTGAAGATGTGTCACTCAGATTGGTTTAATAAAGAGCTAGGCAGGATTTTCCGGGCACAGTGGAAGGCAGAGTCACTAGTAGATGCAGGAGCAGACATGCAATGAAAGAGGTAAAAGCCACAAGTTACGTGGCAACATGGAGATAAGTAAAAATGAGTTAGTTTAAGTGATAAGAGCTACTTAGAAACAAGCCTAAGCTATCAGTCAAACTTTCAGAATTAATTAAGAAGTCTCCGTGTTATTTATTTGGGAGCTGGATGGCGGGTAGAGAAAGACTAGCAACATAAACTTAATAAGGAAAATGCCGATTTTTGTCACATAGCTCCAGAGATTTCAGTCCATGACCACTTGGCCCTATTATCTTGGATGTGTGGTGGCACAGAAGACTGGCAGAAAGGTACAGTGGAGGAGACCTACTCCCCTCATGCAAAGAAAAAAGCTGAAAGAGACAGAGGGGTCACAGTGCCTACATCTAGCTAACCAGTAGACAACCTTGCCACAGCTGCCTTGCAATAGGTCTCACCATCTCCAGGCTATGTTACGGTCCGGGGAAGAAGCCTTTAACACATGTACCTCTCGAGAGAAGACAAGAGGCTAACGACACAAAGGTCCTGTGACCTCCATTTTACACATTAGAGAACAGAAAGTGTTAAGAATTTGCTTAGAACTATGACAGAGTAGGAAGCAGAACCAAATTCAGACTTAAGCAACTCAACAAACGGAAACTCACAGTAACATGGACTCCAGACAACGGCTTACCAAAAACTGATGAACACAGGGCAAAAGCACAATGTCCGCCAAAGTGAAATACAGTCCTTCTGCAAACACGTGCTCCAGAGGCGGAAGGTCAGAGGCTTTGGCTTTCCTGATGTGAGGAGGCTCCTTGTTAGCAGCACCCGTGTCTTGCACTGTGAGCTTTGAGAATGCCACCATCAGTTCTAGACTCTTGGAGGAGCCAGCCAACTCTTTGGATGGTTGCTGTGCACGGGCCTTGCCTTTTGCTTTTCCCTTGCCAGAGGAAGGCTCAACTCCAGCCGTCTTCTGTTGCTTTAGCTTCTGTCTGCGGAGTTTGTCATCGTTGTGTACTCTGACAGGCTCACTGAGCTTTCTCTCGAGCTGTAGGATTTCTTCAGGGATAGCTGGGGACTGGTCAGAAGACTCTTGGAGAAAATTCTCAACAGCCAAAGGGATGGTGAGTTCACATAGCCTGGTCCACTGACTGACCTACAAGACAAACAAGACAATATCCTGTTAACTGGGAAATAAGAGTAGTTTAAAGCTGGAGGGATGATGGTTCAGTCATTAAGGACTAGGCTCACAACAAAAAAATATAATGGTTTAAATAATTTAAGTGATGAGCTATAGCATCCCTGGGCTTGGCTTCTGTGCTAGATCAGAAAACATGCTATAATTTTTCAAAATGGAAACCTTACATGATGCAGCTTCTGCACATCTGTATCATCTTACTGAATAAGTCACTGTCTCTCATGGCAGTTTGAATGACAACTGACTCATGTATTTGAATACTTGGTCCACATTTTTGTGAGCTGTTTGGGAAGGATTAGGAAGTATGACCCTGCTGGACATGTGACAGGCATGAAAGACTTTGGACTAGGAAAGCAGCTGAATGCTACAAAATGTGCTCAACCAGCCATCCTAGTAGGAGCTTGGAAGACTGTAGTGCTGACAATAATGTAGCCTATGGAGGCCCCAGCTCAAAAGGTTTCAGAAGGCAACAATATTAGAGACTGGCCTAGAAACCATTATTGTGATACTTTGGCTTAGAAATGTGGCTACTTTTTGCCTGCGTCCTAAGATCCTGCCTGCAGATAAATTAAAAAGCAATGAACTAAATTCTTTGGCTGAGAAACTTCAAGACAGCCGAATATTGACTGTCCTATGGTTATTAGTATCACTCTTATGCAGATCTAAAATGAAAAAGAATGAGGCAAAAAGAAATACAAAATGGACAACTGGAAGTCAAAAAGAGCACCAGGAAATTTAACAAGTTAACCTTGGAGCCAAGGCTTGTTTGTGCTCAATAAGGACAGGCCCTAGGCAAAATAGAATACAAGGAGGGGTCCCCTCAGGACAAGAGCCTACCCAGTTATACTTCCAATTTGTACAAAGAAAATGCTTCAGGGATTTTCTGCTCCTAAAAAGCAACAGCAAGAGAAGCTTCTGCAAATGAAAGTCGAGGAGGGAGCCAAGATCTGTCCCAAGTGGACAGCAAATGGTCTGGCTTTAGAGTCATGACAGATACATGAATTAAGGGATTACATAATCTTCCTCCATGGTTAAGGAGCAGGGCTGAGGCCAGGTGTATGGCAGAAGTGCCTGCATGGTAGCGTCAAGAGGGCACTGCAGAAAGCTGGGAAAGTGAAGCCTGAATTGTGCTGGGGACCCCGGGATACCAGAGCCATGAGGCATCTGTCATGGAGAGCTGCAGATGGGGTGAAACCAGCCCAAGAGAAGGAAGTGTGTTGCAATAACCAAATAGTGGAGCCATCTAAGCCCTCTGATTTCAGATATGGAGTTACAATATCTAGAGGTAGTCTTTTAGGATTTCAGTCTTGCACTGGTCCAGTATTTCCTTACTCCCTTTTGGAATGACAATATTAATTAAATGTCATTGTATGTTGGAAGTACGTAATTTGCTTTTTGATTTCACATGTGGTTACAATTATAAGATTGCCTGTGATAGACACTTAATAAAGTGCTCAACATCCTTATCCATTAGGGAAATGCAAATCAAAACAACTCTGAGATACTATCTTACTCCTGTCAGAATGGCTAAAATCAAAAGCATCAAAGATAGTTTATGCTGGAGAAGATGTGGAGAGAAGGAAACACTCCTCCACTGCTGGTGGGAATGCCAACTCGTACAGCCACTTTGGAAATCAGTAAGGAGATTCCTCAGGGAAATGGGAATCAGCCTACCACAAGATCCAGCAATTCCACTCTTAGGCATATACCCAAAAGATGCATATTCATACAACAAGGATATCTGTTCCACTATGTTCATAGCAGTTGTAATAGCCAGAACCTGGAAGCGACCTAGATGCCCCTCAACTGAAGAGTAGATAGAGAAAATGTGGTATATTTATACAATGGAGTACTACTCGGTGGATCAGGGGAATGCCAGCCTACAATCCCACAGCCAGAGAGCCTGGGAAACAGGGAGGGCCCTAAGAGAGAGATGCATGGTACCCCAGAGAAAGGGAATGGGACAGATCTCCTGAGCAGATTTGGGAGCACAATGGGAGGGGAGAGGGAGCTGAGAAAAAGAGAGGGGGAGAGGAGGACATGGGGGAACAGGAAGGTTGAGCTGGGGGAAGAACAGAGGAGAGCAGGATGAGAGATACAATAATAGAGGGAGTCATTATAGGTTTGAGGAGAGATCTGGCACTAGTGAGATCTCCAGAGATCTACAAGGATGACACCAACAGACAAACTAAGGAATAGTGGAGGGGCTACCTTAAAAGCCCTTCCCCAATAATGAGATTGACTACCTTATATGACATCCTAGAGCCTTCAACCAGTGGCTGATGGAAGCAGAGGTAGACACCCACAGCTAAACACTGAACCTTACTCCTGGAACCCAGCTGCAGAGAGGGAGCAGTGATGAGCAAAGGGGTCAAGACCAGGATGGTGAAACCCATAGAAACAGCTGATCTGAACAACGGGGAGCTTATGGACCCCTGACTGATGGCTGAGAGGCCAGCATGGGACTTATCCAGACCCCCTAAATATGGGTGTCAGTGAGGCCTTGGAAATCTATGGGGTCTTGGGTAGTAGATCAGTATTTATCCCTGGCATACGAATGGACGAACATACCACATGGAGGTATGTTCTCTCATCCTGGACACATGTGGGAGGGCCTAGGCCCTGCCCCAGATGAAATGACAGACTCTAGAGATCCCCCATGGAGGGCCTCACCCTCCCTGGGGAGCGAAGTGGGGATTGGGTAGGAGGACCGGAGGGGGTGGGAGAGGATGGGAAGGAAAGAGTGAGCTGGGATTGATATGTGAAGCAAGCTTGTTTCTAATTTAAATAAAAAAAAAAAAGCCTGAAGTGTCAAAAGAAACTGTAGACTTTGAAACAGTATTGAATAGTGCTGACAGATATGGGGACTTTTGAAGATGGACTAAATGCATTTCGTAATTCACAGTCCACTAGCCTGTAGGGTCTAAGAAGTAGAATGTGGTGGCTTAGGTGAGAATAAGCCCACACAGGCTCATATATTTAAGCACTTGATCCATCCCACTTGGTGGAACTGTCTGGGAAGGTTTAAGAGGTGTGGCCTTGTTGAAGGAAATGTGACTCTTGGAACAGTTTTGAGATTTTAAGACTCAAGCCATTCTCTTTAAGTACCCTGCCTTGAGGGTGTGTCTGAAGATAAGATACCAACTACTATTTCAGCACTATGACTGCCTGTTGCCACACTCTCTGCCACGACGGTCATAAACTCTAGTGCCCGAAACTAATTCCCCCAAAAATTCATTCTTCTATAAGTTGCTATGGTGAGATATTGATTATGACTTATTAAAGTTTGCCTGAGGTTTCAGAAAGCAAAGTCAGTCACAGGCCAGAGAAGCCAGGCACACACCTTTAACCCCAGCAACCAGCAGCCAGAAGATGGTGGTACACACCTTTAATCCTAGGACTCAGGATTAAGAGATAGACGGATCTCTGTGAGTCCAAGGCCACCCAGATCTACACAAGCAAGAGTGACCCAGTATAAAAGGGAATCATAGCTCTTTAATCCCAATGTTAGGGAAGTAAATAAGACAGAAGCAAGGTCTCAGAGTGTCATTCATTCTCCTGCAGGACTGAGGAGAGGCTGTAGTTTGAGACTTGGAGCAGTGCTCATGCGTGGATCAGTCCTTTCAGCCTGAGCTAGAGGGGAGAGCTAGAGGCCGGCTGCTTTGCTTTCCTGATCTTCAGCTTGAAGCTTAAACAGCAGTGTCAGTGTCTGTGTCTTTCATTTTTTGTGTTACAAATTGCCTAAGGCATGGCATCTTATCATGACAACAGGAAAGTAACTAAGTAACCCCAAAAACCTTTAAAACTCCCCAAGGCTTACAAGGCACTATGACTTCAGCTCTTACACATATATGAACATTTCTTTTAAAGGTCCTCAATACAACAGAGAAAGGGGAACATTATTTCAAAACTTCATGTGTCTAAACTTCATAAAATACATCTTAAATTCGTATTGTTAAGTATTGCCCTGTAATAATGACACACCTAAGGATACGAAGTTACAATCATGTTGGAGTGAGTGTTATTACTTATAGCTTTAAATAACAGAAGAGACCATATACTTACTTCAGCACAGGCTTTCAAACAAGTCTTTTTAAAACCCAGAAGTTCCAAAATTTCCTTTCTTGACGGCTCGGCTTCATAGGATTTCTGAATTACATGTCTTAGGACAACGGCAAGTCCTGCTCTACAGAAAACCTCTGGCTGTTCTACCACTGCAGGCAAGCAGCAATTCTGGACTATCGGTGGGAGCGCCTGTCTTGAAATAACCTGTATGTCCAGATCCTGGGACAGCGCCTCTCTTAGGAGTGAAGTGTCTAGGTTTTCTTCGGTAAGGACTAAGTAAACATTAAAGACCTTGCAGTCACAGTACGATAATAAAAACAGAGCTACAGATGTGTGGAGAGGAAAGATGCCCCCTTCTGCTTGGTGAGAGTACTCCAGGTACAGAGATTCTACCGTAGGACTTTTCTTAATGCCTTTCATTTTCTCTTTTCATTGGCCACCTATAACAAAAATCAAGGTGGTTAGAGGCCTTCAGATATAGCAGTTTAGAGGCTAAAAGATTAGTGTTTTTCAAAAAAATCAGTGAGAATATGTATCTAAGAATTTTTACTTCAAGGATGAATGACTTTCGAAAGAATCCTTTTCTCCAGTCTGCATGATTAAACATTTTTAGTGATGATTCTCAGATGAGTAACCTTGGTGCTCTGTAACAGGAAGCACTGTTAGTTCTCTTTTATAAGCCCTCCCCCAGCCAATCTTTTCCAGATATCTCTGCTGTATAAATACCATTTCCACTGCTTCTGAGCCACTATCACTTCTAAATTATATCAATTGCCTCAGCTCAACTCCTTCTGTTAAAAGGAAGTTCTGCCACTCCGTTCAAGTGATGCAGTACCTTCCCATCCCCCTGACATCAAGTCAGCCTTCTACACAGCCTGCACAGATCCTGATGGAACCATTCTGTCTCCAGCTCATCTCATTCTTTCTCATTGCTTCCCCTAAAGTCAGCTAAGATATCTACAGATATCTACACTCCAACCTCAAGATCTTCATACTCACTGTTTATGGAACACAGAGTTCTGCCTAGTTAATAATAGGTAGAATCTTACTGAGATGTTCTTTGGCTACTTTTTATATTATAAACCCCAACAGACATAATCCCTTCACTTTGTCTTCTAAGCTTTAATTCCTCCACAGCACTTGGTACCATTAGAATACACTATTTTTCAATATTTTGTCTATTTGACTATTAGAATACTCTGTAAGAGCATTTCATAAACTGTTATACTTAAAATAGAACCTGCTAAATATCTGCATGTAAAAAGTATTTGCCGAAGGAATGCATATACGAGTATACACACTGGTTGATTTAAAGGTGCATATCTTAAGGTCAAATTATTTCTCTAAGGTTTTTGTCAAATATGACTTTTTGCTTTTGAGTCCCGGGTCCAGAGTTAATCACATTCTAATCCATAAACCACAATTCAAAAGTAGACACTAGATGGCACTCTTTAAAAGCATTTGGAAGTATGTAACTAGAAGAGGGTGTAGTAGAAAAAAAAATGTGTGTGTGCGTGTGTGCATGTGCGTGTGTGCGTGTATGTGTTGGGGGGGTGCACGCACATGCGTTTGTAGAAAGGTACAAAAGAACCATGAAAGAGGCATTCTCCATATAAGCTATAAAACTTGATTCACTGCGAGTACTTCCTAATGTTAAATGTCAACAACAAAAATAGAAATACCTTCCCATGGTGAAATCAGAAAAACTAATGAGCTGTCCAAGAGAAAATGCCAAGTACAATCGATTTCTTAATGCTTTTTCAATGCCGGTATTGGTGGGTTTTCTTCTTCCTCCTTAGAGATCAAAATGCTGGTTAATAATTGTGGAGTTTAAAAAAAATTACTCCTCCTGGGCAATTTCTCCTCATTTCTAACTAGCATAACTATTAAATAACAAACATTTCATAAACCTGCACAAATTTGGTAGGTGCTATGGCTTGCACTGTGTTTTTAGGAATACAGCATAGTTTTGGCTTAAAGTTTATAAATATCAGGCAAAAAGAAATTCCTTTCCCCTTCTTTTTCTGCTTTGACAATTCCTTAGCTACACTCGAGTCAATTTTAGGGTTCCCCAAGGTTTCTAGAGCACAGCTTGCATTGCCTCTTATTAGAGTTTTGTCAAGCACAGACCTGTCATTTGCTTTCTCAATTCTGGTATATGCCATACAACAGTCACTGGGGGAAATGACAAAACAGACAAAAACATAAAGCTTCAGGGGCTGACCACCAACAGCATATGCTTCTACCTCATACGTCAACACAATTGGGAATGTGCAGGAGAAATAAACAGGTTAAAGGAAATATTAAAGCTTCAGTCTCATCACTTAGAACTCTTCAAGGATATATTTTAAAATGGTTGTTTTTAATAATGGGTATAATACTTAGACATTTTGTATTTTAATTCTAATTAATGTATCTTGGCTTTGACAAAATGTTACATATGCTGCTTGGCTTAGTATAACATGTCTTTAGAGCAGAGGCAGCAGATCTCTGTGAGTTCAAGGCCAGCCTGGTCTACATACTGAGTTCCAGGACAGCCAGGTTCATGCAGAGAAAACGTGTCTTTTTAAAAAAGTTTTAAATTTTTTATACTTCACCCCATTTATGTGTGTGTGCAAATGTCTAAAGAAGGGGTAGAAAGGGAAGAAAGAGAGAGAGAGAGAATGAGAATAAAGAGAAACATTAGAAATAAAAACTTCTTTATCTGCCAGAATGTAAAAAATCAATTGGAATGTTTTGTGTTCAAAATTCAAGTCAGAATCGTTGGCACCTCAGCATTACACAATATACTGCACTCTATATGACAGACAAAAATTCATGTTATGCAACAAGATTTTTTTTCATTAAAAATATTAGCTAGACATGGTGGCACACGCCTCTTATCCCAGCACCCAGGTGGCAGATGCTGGAGTATCTCTGTGAGTTCAAGGCCAGCCTGCTCTATAGAGTCAGTTAAGGACAGCCAGGGCTACACAGAGAACATGGCTCAAAAAACTAAAGTATTAACTGAATCTAAAGTGATCTATTTTGAAAACATTCAGAAATTTTCCTAGAATAAATACTATTGTACACTTATAAAGTTGAGGCAGGAGAATCAGAGTTCAAAGTCATCCTAAAATACACAGCCAGTTAGAGGCCAGCCTGTGGCACTCAAAACCCCTAAATTTTAGAAAGCATTAATATTACATGATTACAGTATAGATAAAAGCATATTTTATTGTAGGAACAATCTTATCAGAGCAAAAATTATCAGAAATTATATTATTAAAATATTTCTATCAAGGATACCAACCCTAATTCTCAATAAAAAGACAAAACAGCCAGGCGTTGGTGGCGCATGCCTTTAATCCCAGCACTCGGGAGGCAGAGGCAGGCAGATCTCTGTGAGTTCGAGGCCAGGCTGGACCGACAGCCTCCAAAACAATACAGAGAAACCCTGTCTCGTAAAACCAAAAAAAAAAAAAAAAAAAAAGAAAAAGAAAAAACAAAAGAACAAAAAAAACCCCTCCATGGCAAAGGCTGGTTATTTGGCACTTTCAAGACTAGATAAAATTCCTTGTCAGCTGCTTCCTGATTCTACTTACTGGGTATTCTTCAGAAGGCTCAATCATTCATCACTCACATTCTAATTACACAGGAGGATCACAAGTTTGAAACCAGGTTAGACTACATGATGGCTTCAAAGCTAGCTTGTGAAGCGTAGGAAGGCCCTGTTTCAAAAATCGTAAAAAGGCTAAGGTGTAGCTCAGTAGGAGAGTATAATCTCTAAAACCAGAAAAAGCAACAGCAAAACCTGAAGTAATACCATACTCTATTACACTGAATAAATCTGATTTTATGCTGTTTTTTTTCCTTTCCTTTTAAAGTCTGGCTGTTGACTGATTTCATGACCCATCACCAGTACAGAAGTACATGTGTGGCATGTTGACTGCATTCTGACAATAAAGTTTATTTTGAATCAGAGGGCAAAATTAACCAGAGGTTTTAGAGGCCTGAGGAGGTAGTAAGGCGGGGCTTAGAGAGAACCTCAGTCCTCTGGGAGTGAGGAAGGGAGGGGATAGGAAGTCACTGGTGGTTGCTCTGAAGCTTCTGGTCAATCAATTTCTTATCACAATATCTGACTCCCAATTTTTCATTGATAAAGAATAGTTAAAAGCTTCAGAGGTCACATTTCAACAGTACCATTTCATGTGCTCTACAGTGCCAGTGGCTTTAAATATTGTCTGACTCTGCATTATTTCAGGCACATCTTGCCTGAGCTCCAGGCTCCCTGACAATTCAACTGGCTTTTCCTAAATCTGCTCCTTTTTTTACTGGTCCTGTTGTTGACCAAAAAGCAACGTTATTCACCTACCTCAGACTCAAGCCTCATGTACACCCCCTTATCTCTCATGTCTTGCTGTCTCCTCCTCTGAAACAGAACCTAAATGTAGTTCCTCAGCATCTCCTACTACCACTATAATCAAGTCATCACCAGCCTACAGATTTGATAGGTCTCATTCCCTTACTTCCCACACAGGTCTGTTCTCCAACCACCATCCTTAAAAGCACATCCCCTGCACAGTGTTGCCCAGGAGTCCCTCGGCACACTTAGAATAAACAGTGTGGGTCCAATGTGATCCCCTCTTTATTCTCTGCCTTCATTTAATATCCTTCCTCCTGTTCCTCAAAGGGGCCGGAACCTCCTACATGAAAACGTTCGTGTTTGGCCATTCCTTTTCCCTTCCTCATGTCACTGACTTCTCTAGCACATATTATCTCAAGAAGCCTTCCCTGACCACATGAATTGGGAACACACTCCCATCACTCTTTAGCTTGTTACCCAGCATTCTTTCCCTTGTTAGCATATCATAGGACACTTTTAATGATTAATAATACTCAAGCTTTAGTTCATGAGATGAATAAAGATGATGGAATACACACACATGATTAGCAACGACAGCACAAGAATCCTATCGAGGACCTCAGTCTGATACAACATCAGCCTCATTTACTGACACCATTTTCTCTTCCAACTTAATCTAGGTTAAATGTAAACAAGAATGAAGAAATACATCCACCTCCATGAGTTGACTCAGGATGGATGTAACTAGAGTCCACCCAAGCTGTAAATAAGGAAACAAGACTTAAATACTGATATTCAGACAGAAAAACTAGGAACCTTAACTACTAGAGCTACTACACACATGTTTAGTGATGGGTAAAAGCCCAGAGTCTTGAACAAACAAACTGGGCTTAAACACTGGTTCTGATTCTTAGGAGCTATATAAGTTTCCTTCATCTTAGTTTTCTCAGTTCTGAAATGAGGACAGAAATAGCAGCACTTTCCATATGGTGTGCTATGGTAATGGACAATGATGTTGCATAGGAAGCCCCTAAGTAAATGCTAGCTAGCTACTTTGTTTCAGGCAGTGCTACAGATCAACACCTCTCACCCCCGTGTGTCAGGTAAACACTCTGCCACTGAGTCACACCTCAGCCCCTACTATTGATTATAATTTATTCGATTAAAATGCATTAATCTTAATGGGAAAAATTCAACTTATGCTTTTTATTTCCAAATTTCTCCCCAGGAAACATGTGAACTATGTTGAACGGCAAAGTTTTTTTTTTTTCCACAAACATTGAAAATTTGGTAGAGGTTTAAAGAAAAGGAGTCATAAAATGGTGGAATATAAATGGAAAATTAAGTCAGTATACATATTAGCACACTGTATTATACAAAATAAAGTTTGGCATAGTTTAGTGTGAATATTTACATATTTCTTTCTACTATTGAAATCTGTTTATACCTGTTAAACTTCTTTCCATCAGAGAATGTTTAACATATCAAATGGAAATCTTAGCCCATGTTTTAACTTCTCACAAAGCAGTACTGTTCGGTTACAAACACAGTACTCCATTACAATACATATTTTTACAAATGCTTCTTCATGCCCGGCAGTGGTGGCACACGCTTTTAATCCCAGCACTTGGGAGGCAGAGGCAGGCGGATATCTATGAGTTCAAGGCTAGGCTGGACCGACAGCCTCCAAAATAATACAGAGAAACCCTGTCTCGTAAAACCAAAAAAAAAAAAAAAATGCTTCTTCACAGATAGATAGCTAACTACTTCTAACTAAAAGTCAAAAAGAGAATTGCAGCTTTTAGAGTTCATTATATTATATAATGTAGGATGATCATTCCGAGGCAATCAGCCCTGATTAAAATTATAAATACTTATGAAATATAAAGTTTGGTAGTGAAATGCTTGCTGAAATCTTAGTTACAGAAGTAGTACATAATCTCTCTGGAGATGCAGAGAATTGTCTGTTGCTATGGAGTCATAATGCTTGCAGCTAAATCTGACCTGTGGTAAACTCGGATAGACAGAATGAAATATAAACATGTTGAAAGCATCCACAAGGCTGAAACAAAAATGTTGAATTATCTCGGCAAACAATACTTACTGTATCATACAAAGCTTAAACTCCTGCATCCCACGAAGTGATCACAGCGGAATCCAGGAATTTACTTTGAATTTAAGGATAAAAAACAACACATACCAGGTAACTGCCTATTCTACAAATGTCCCACTGGTTAGTACCAGATGTTTTGATGTCTGCTAAATTATTGCTATTATTAGTAAGACCAACTGGATTTTTGTTTGTGTTTATTTCAAACCACATGTTGCTGAAACCACAGCTAGAAAACATAACAGGTTAAAATTATTCTTTAAAGATCCACAACCACGAAAGCTCTTTTGGCTTTGTTTAAAATGAGCAAATACATAGAAGAAATCTCTCCACTTTTCTCCTGCCCCTGTATACCACTGAACCCTATCTTCCCTTCCTTGAAAGTCCACCGCCCCAAGGTCCCTGCCTAGTTTAAAGGTGTTTTTTTAAATTATTATTATGACTAATAACATAAAGCAATGTTCAAATCTCAATCTAATTTTTGAAGTTAGGCCTCTTAAAATGAAGCCTTCAGGTACAAACCAAATACAATTTCAAGTAATGAAAATACTTAAGGCAATCATTTTCGTAGTGTGTGCTCCCACAATGCAATTATTTAAAAAAACTCATATAGTTGAATGTTTGATCTAGTAAATATGACAGCATAGCAGTTGTTGTATTATAACAGTTTATTCTCGTGGCATTTCAACGACCATATTTACATGTTTAAGACCATCGCTAGTACTTGCTGGTTTTGGTATTCTTTCCTTTAAACACCCTTTTCTGTAGAAAAAGCACAAGAAAAACTTGACAAACGCCAAATTCCTTCGCAATAATTTGGTAGGAGATACGTTAGTCTATCTTTCCTAACCGTAAGGACTCTATGACAAGGAATTTGTGGATAGACAAGGCTGGAAAGAAGGAGGGTCATGTAATTCCTAAACCAAGCAAAGGTGGGACGGTTTGCGTTTGAGTAGTCATTTCCGAAGCCAAAGCAATTTTCATGCAAGCTCATCCCAAATTTTCTATTCAACTTAATTAACGAGGGGAGACGCTGCTTTGATGGGACTACTATGAGCAAACGTCCCAGGATGCAGCAAATCGGTTGCAGCCACTGTGCAACAGTATCCACGTACAGCGTCCAATCAGGACGGGCTGCAACGGAAAAAAAAACCTCTCTCTTTGGGGGAAAGTTCAAGTGTGCTCCAAGAGACCTTTCCCCTGCACCCGGCTGTAGCAAACGACTGCCCAGACCCCCCACGCCGCAGAGCTGCCCGGTTGCTTTACCCGCGCAGCTGGAAGCCCCGGGGCCGGCTGGCGGCAGAGTGGCCCACGCGTCACCGCGGGGAACGGCGCCGAGCCCTCCACCGGCACCTCCGCCACAAGTCCGCGGGGCTGGGGAAGACTTTCACCGGTCCCGCCTCGCCCCCAAGCTCGGCCCCGCCGACCCCCGGGGGACAGCGCGGTCCTCGGGTGACGGAGCGGCCGAGCAGCCCGAGCGCCCTCTTTACCTGGTCGCAGGGGCGCGGCCAGGCAGGGAGGGCGCGAGAGCGTGCAGGGGACGCGGGCCGCCGCGCCTTCCCGCCCAGCGCGAGCCGGGATCCCGAGGCTCCTTCTGGAAGCCGCGGCCTGAGGAGCGCTCGCCTCCAGTGAGGCCCCCGAGCGGAGATGGGGGTGGGGTGGGGGGCTAAAAACAGTAAGAATCGGAGAAGCAATGTGTCTGGAAACTTCCCCGCCCACCGTCATTCATAATCCGGCGGACCGGAAGAGGCCGCGCGTCACTTCCTGATGTCTCCCTAGGAAACGTCCCCCTCCCGTCCGCTTGCGGGAACCTTTGTTTCTCGCTTCTGATGCCGGTTAGGGCAGGGACGGGTTCGGAAAGAGCGGCCGGGAACGGACAGAGTGGCGGGGCGGAGCGGTGAGTTGTGACGAGGGTCCCCGCTTCCTGGCGCCTCCGGGAGGCTCGAGAGCCCGCGAGGGGCGGCCGGAGTGGAGCTCCGTGGGGTGTTGGTCTCCTGCCCGCTGGAGGGCAAACCTAATTTGCGGGCAGTTGCGTGCCGCAGCCTAACCGCTCCTCCCTTCCTGTACGGGCTGTGCCTCTCAGGGTGCTGGGGACTGAGGACCGAGCCCCTGGGGACAGGGTCCGTGGAACTCTCACATACCTTAGTCCAAGGGTTCCGGCTGCCTCTCCGCAGCTCTCGCTTTACCTCTCCTTTTCTGACTCCCTTGTCAAGGACTTTTCCCTACTCAAGGCCGCCCGTGTGTTTTGTTTGCGCCAAAAGATTCTCATTCCTAAGTGTCCTGTCTCTGTGCAGATTCTCTACCGATTGGTTTGGTTTGGAACTGGGGTTTTTATCGCCTGCTCTAAGTTTCCAGACGCACCTAGGGCCAAGTACTCAAAAATGTTTATTGGAAAGGATTGCAAAATCTTACAGAGATGCGAATGGGTGGGATTTCATGGTTGTAATGAGATTGTCATGCTAGCATTGCATCCTCGTGAATAGTCAGTTTCTTTTATCTCATACATTAGGAAGTGACCGACTTTGAACTTTGTTTGAAACTAGCAGGCAGGATGAAAGGGACCCAAGGGAAAGTATATATTTAGATAGGGATGCTTAGTTTTTTTTTTAAGGGACGTCACAGTAGCTTTGAAAAATGACATGTTAGTGAAAAATCTACTTGATTCACTAAATATTTAAAAGTACCCGTTAAATTCTAATTGCTAGGGAAATAACTGCACCCCATCGCAGCACACACAGACATACAAACCCCTGCTCTCATAGACAATATATGCTAGCAAGTTTAATAATTAATGACAGATGAAAGAACAGAAAGTGGGTGCTTCAGATCAGAACACTGCACATGCTCCTACCCATAAAACAGATGATTGTTTTGCTCTTTGAGTTTCGGTTTTGTTGGTTGAAAAGACAATTGAATTTCTCTGATGCCTTTTGCTGAAGCGATTAGAATTGTGTAGAGTTAAAGAGGAGAACATTAGACTTTGCTTTGATGAGTTAACAAAATAATAGTCTAGCCCACTGTTTTACAGGGTAACACAGGAATAAGAGAAACAAGGAATTCGTGCTTAGAAAATGAGAGAAACCCATGTGGAATCATCTGCCTAGAGATGGTAGTTGGCAACAAAATGTGTATGATTGCTGAAGAACAAATTGGTAGCAAAACTAGGGCAGGGAACCCAGGACAGATAGTTGGAACAATAATAAGAACAGCAGGAATGACATGAACCAGGGAAAGAATGGAGATAGGAAAAAAATTAAAGTTAAATAAAGCGGTGCAAAGAAAATTTTATAAAACACAAAATAATTTTAACATATTTACTTGGTCTTAAAATAAGGAACGTTATTGGGTTGTGGTGATGTATGCTCTTAATCCCAAACACTCAGAGGCAGACTCATCTCTTTAAGTTAGTTCTAGGAAAAACCCCATTTCAAAACAAACAAAGTAAACAAGCAGGCAAAGAACAAAAGTGGGATATAGCCCCAATAAAGTGATAATAGTCAGAGATGCTTGTAGAGGGAGAGTTAGACTTAAAGTCGGTTGAGAGAAATGAGGGTGAAGTGGCCTCATTGGGGTCATGTTCAGTGGGATGCCTCAGGAAGACAGTGGCCTAAACTTGCTGTTAGCTCCTGTGGAAAGGGTGGGCTGAGAGAACCGTGGTCTTGAAAGAGAAGTTTATGATCACTGGCAAAAGTAGATTTTCTGGGGCAGCAGTTCTCAATTTGCAAAATAAATTGGGGTTGCCCAGGTGGTTTCCCACAGATTGGCAGGTTTCACCTGGAGTTTTTTTCTTCTGTAAGTTAGGATGTGGAAGCCAAGAGTTTATACCTCTAATGTGTTTGCCGGGGATGCCTGCTATATTTTAGATTTCTGTATGACTAAGTTAACCATTGTAAGATTATTTTCATAGAATTTTGGGAAGAAGGCCCCATTGTATGAATTGAAGCATTAATTAGAATATAGAAACTATAAAAAGTAGGTGATATTTGAGAAAAGCTTTGCTACAAGAAGAGACAATAATAAAGGAATAAATGTCAATATAAGATGCCAGCAGTCGGGGGAGGCTTGAGAATAAGACACTTCAAATAACCCCAAGTGTAAGGTTCCAGAGAGCACAGGAAAAAATAGCATCCATGCCCAACGGACATTACGCACAGAGCCATTTCTTATTATTTTTTAATCAAGTGGAAAAAGAGTAAAGTATAAGTGCATGGCAGTTTTAAATGAAACAAGTAATTGTTATTTTCAGAAAGAAGGGAAGGGAATTGACCAAACAAACATGAGAGTGCTAAGTGTGACACATGCCAAGATGGGACTAGTAACTTGGAAGAGAGCATGGTATTTTTTTCAGCTGCATTTAGTTTGGATGTAGATGGGAGAAGATGCCAAATGGAAGAATGTCTACAAAGTAGGTGAAATTATAGCAATGGGATAAGGATGCTAAAGATCTGGAAGAGGGTCATTGAAAGGCCTGTACTAGAGTAGAGACTCAAAGGAAAGAAGTAGTGTGCTCCCGATTAACACAGGGAAGAGATGGGGATGGTGAGATCATTGTATAGTAGTGGAACTTCTACTGAGACTTATATTTGCGACAGATAATTCCTAGTGTGACCTAACCGTTCACTCTCACCAACATCATCACTATGGCCTCGCTAGGTCAATGATAGTTTTAAAGTAATAAATATTTTCTTACATTTCTTTGTTTTAAACAACATTTATGTTTTTAAAATAAACTCACACTTAACATTCTTTCATCTGTCTTCATTTCTGCATTTTCATGCATATAACTTATTTTATGCCATCGACTGCTTCTGTTTGGTTTGAGAAAGAAGTTGAACAAGACAGTGTCAATAAAGAAGCAACACTGGGGACAAATGGAGCCACTCTAGATTCTGAGAACATAGGATGTGGGAATGAAGAAAGGAAGGGGAGGCATTAACCAAGAAAATTGCTTGGCTTGGTACCCAAAATACCTTCTTGAGTTAAGACAGTGGAAAAGAGAAAATAATGGAAGATACAATTTTTAAAGGTGGGTGGTGTTGATTATAGTAAAAAAGAATAGGTATGGTAAACTTTACATTTCATTGGCTGAAAATGATGCTCTTAGCGTGAAAGAACTAAATAAAGTTATTTGTAAAAAGTTTCAGAAGATCATAGTATGTGCTGAAATAAAGGTAATGCCTGGGAGAGAGAGAAGGAAGAGCCTGGCACTCATGTTCTTTAATTCGAGTAAGGAAGATACAAGTGAGAGGTTGATTAATGGGGTCATGGAATTTTTTTTTTAAATCAGCAATTCAGAAGAGGCTCTCTATAAATGGTTTTATAGCCTTTCAGTTGGAACAAGTCAAGGAACACTGCCTCGGAGGAGGCTATAAAAAGGTGATGTCATTAGTGAGAATAGTAAAGGCAGGAGGTGCCTGAGGAAGAAGTAGAAATGTAGGGGAATGTGTTATTCCTAAACTTAGCTTGGGAAGGGAGAAGGGCCGGGCTGAAGGAAAGCACTGAATGGACGTGCAGAATGATTTGTAATTTAAGTAAGCCACAATGTAGAAAGAGAAAGGGGAAACTGGAGGTTACTAGATAGTTTGGAGCAGGGGACTCCAAACCTTTCTTATTCCGTGAGCTTGAAAATTGAACATGCTTGCACACCCGCATTCCACCATGTACACCACTGAGTTTGAAAGATATGTCAGTAATTTACAGCAGGGGTGCAAAGTGTGGCAAGACTTCTAAAGAGAACTGTCTCCAAGGTTTCCATTTGAATATTTCTGTCGCATTACACCATAGGTCAAATGATCTACAGGCATTTCACTTGTGATGACAGACATGCATAACAATACTGTGCTTCCATTTTTCAGAAAGGAAAGTGGTGCTTCTATCATATAAGGATTTGTCCAGGTATTATCTCTTTGCTCAGTCTCCCATAAAACAGACTGCCCTGGGTTAAATAAACTAGTATGTCTGTAGCTGTATAAATTAGGTCATAGAAAGAGTGGACTGTGTTTGTCCTATAGACTCTGAGACAATGTTTATCTCTTTAGTCATAGATATTATTTTAAACTATTTGTCCTCAGTATTAGTGAGTATGATGATCAGCCTCATAAATGTATTTTAAAACAATCCTCCTGAACCTGTCATTCTTTGGAGATCATATATATGTGTGATGTAATCTAAAGCAGCAATACAGCCTATTCCATTGCATTAAGTTCTTACTAATAGAACCATTTAAGGTATGGTTACTTTTTCATTCTAGTGCTAGCCTTCAAACTCTATTACCTAGGTAATTCAGACAGATGATATTTTAGTAGAGCATAGAATTAGCAATGATTTTTGATTATCAAGTAGATCATACCATTTTAGGAACTTATAGAGAGCCTGGTGTGTGTGTGTGTGTGTGTGTGTGTGTGTGTGTGTGTGTGTGTGTGTCCATCTGTCTGCCTGTATCCTGTGGAATTTGGCAGGGTATAAAGAGAAAAATATGATAAGAAATATATGAAATCTATTTCCCAGCCAGTGCTTCATATCCAAGATCCAACCTACAGCAAATTTAAATGATATTATAAGTCCCTGAAAATGGGAGATTATAGTGGAATTGCTGACAGATCTTTAACTGTAGCCTTATACCAGTGTTGCATTACTATGCCATCAAACTTAAGGATAGAAGAGGATTTAAAACCTTAGTCTATCGATCAAAGGATTGGACACTTAGAGTACATTTTTATTTTAATAATTCCTTGCCTGAAAGGTGTTTTTAAAAAAATGACAGCCAGAAGTAGAACCACTTGATAACATTGGTATTAACTGAAAACAAAATTTGACTTGATAGCATTGGTATTAACTGAAAACAAAATTTGACTTCTGAGAATTTTGCAGACCTCCGATTTGTGTGGCTTCAGCTGTGCGGCCATTGTTCAAGCTCTTTCAAACCCCAAGTATTATCAGACCTAAGGGATATACATGTAGTGTGTAAGGGCTGTCATTCAGAGACCTGCTTTTGAAAAATAGCTCAATGCAAGAGATCCTACGTTCTAAATGTGATATAATAAGGTTGCCACTAATATGCTTTCTGAGATACTAACAATAGCAGAGGAGGGGAATGCACAGAAACAAAACAAGAAAACGGTTGTAAAAGCTGCAGAGTGACTTCTACCATGGACCAGTTGGCCTTGGTCTTCCTGTGACATCCTTGTCCCCCCCAACATGAACACCAGACCTTAATTTTTGTGGTAAAAGTGAGACTTGAAAAGAGACATTTTGATGTGTAGTAGACTTGACTTAAATCGGGCAAGTTTCTGTGTGCCATAAGTGACAGCTGTTAGAGGTAACTAGGAAGGTGCTCTGTGATTAAAGATCTTGTCTGCATTAAAATGTTGCCATTATCAGGTATGATGGCACACACCTCCAAACTCACCAGTGAGGGGTGGAGGCAGGAGGACCAGCCTGAGCATACAGTGGTAGATGTAGATACATTGAAAACTGGTAACATCTGTTGTTCCAGAGGGGAGAGGGGAAGCAGATAATGCCAGTCACTCCTTTGTCTCTAATAACCTTTCAGATGTTTTAAAATATTACAAGCAAGAAAACAACATAGATAAAAGTATGGATATATGATTGTACACTCTCTAAATTTCTCCCCCTCCTTTTTTTCTTCAGGTCTTTGCAATGGCTGCTACTGTGAACTTGGAACTTGATCCCATTTTTCTGAAAGCCCTGGGTTTCTTACACTCCAAGAGTAAAGACTCTGCCGAAAAACTAAAAGCACTGCTTGATGAGTCTTTGGCCCGGGGCATTGATTCAAGTTATCGTCCAGCTCAAAAGGTATCTACCCGAACACAAAGTTTGGAAAGAGTTTTGAGATGCAGTGGCCAGTGGCCCAGTGATAGCATTTATATTATCTTGAAACACTCTCTACCATTGTTGTCACTCTTTATGTCACAAAGAAATTGTATTCTTTAACGTTGTTCTCTTCCCTCTCAAGCTTTCAAAGAGCCACCCAGAAAGGTTTGGTCTAGAGCAAGCAGTACTACTCAACGGGTGGGTCTCGACCCCTTTAGGGATGATGACCCTATCACAGGAGTTGCCTAACACCATCACAAAGCTTAGATGTTTATATTACAACTCATAACAGCAGCAAAAAAGAAGTAGCAATGAAAATGATTTTGTGGTTGGGGGTTACCACAACATGATGGATTCTATTCAAGAAACAGCGTTAGAAAGGCTGAGAGCTGCTGGGCCAGAAGATGGCTGTCTTACTATGTGGTGTGTAAAAAAACACTTGCTCGCAATTTAACCTCCATTTCTTTATAATTATGTTTTAGTGTGTAAATTTATTTCTAATTGTTCTCTTGTGTTTTAAGGACAAAAGTATAAATAACAGGAATTTTTCAACAAAATGAACAAATTCCTGTAGATGTCAAAAGTTTGTAGCTTCATTATCGATAGTGAATGGCAGCTTTATGTGACAAGAGTGTATTTAGATCAAAGCCTTTTTGAATCTAGTTTACCTCTTGTAGTTGTGTGATATCAAGTTATATACCTTGAAACTTTATGGTATAGGCCCTTTCCTAAGTGGTTTGTGGATGTTATGAACTTTTGTTGTAATAATGATCTCTTTCTTGAAATTTTAGTATTGCCTATTTTTCTCACATTACAGTTAGGGAACTGAGTTGTCTAATAACTTTTTCTCCCAGCCTTGGCAAAATGGGGAGACTAAGAACTATCTTGCAGATGTGTAAAAGTTATAGCAAAATAAGTAATTTATCCCAAGTAGTATCCACCTAGCACTTATGGGCTCTCCACATGAGGTTTCTGTTTTTCTAGGTCTGAAACTCAGAGTCACCAGATGTGGTGACACAGCTGCCCCACTAAGAGGGAAGACAGAGCCATGTGACTAGCTTGCATGTAGTCAGAATCTGAAGCCTAAGATATGCCCACAACCCAAGTTATTGCCCAGAACTTTCTAGAACATGAACCTGTCAGAGAGTGATTACAAAGACCCTCAAGAGACTCTGGGTCATCATGGGTATATGGTTGCATGGTTATCAAAACATCAAATAGGTGCTGGTTGTGAATCAGTTATTCATAGGAAAGCCAGGGTGGTAGAGAAGAGTGTTACATTGATTATAATATAGCACCTTAATTTTTAACTGAAAATTGTTTCAATTATTTATGTTTGTTTCTTTTCTTTCAGTACTGGGAATTGAATCTATGACCTAGCCAAGTGCCCTACCACTAAACAATAACTCAGCCCTTCTACTTTGAACAAAATAATTAAAGGTCTCTTATTTTTTTTTTATTTTAACCCCTTAGGATGTGGAACCACCCAAAATTTCAAGCACAAAATCTATTTCTATCAAGCAAGAACCTAAAGCATCGTCTAGTCTCCCTTCTGGCAGTAATAATGGCAAAGTCCTCGCAGCAGAAAAGATAAAGAAAGAGGCCGAAAAGAGACCCGCTGATAAAGTAAGGTTCACTTTTAGCTCAGCTTATGAAAGGATAACCCATTCCCACAGGCAGAAAGAATGGCATGTGTCTACTTCAAGCAGCAGTGGGTATGGTCCTGTAACGACTACTCCATAAATTCATTTTACTAGCTGGAGATGTTGAAAAAATGAGTATTTAACTTGTACTAGAGATGGTTGTCATCAAGCATTTGCACCCCAGGGGAAAATAATACAGACCTTACTCCATAACTCTGGCTACAGTAGTTGTTGAGAAGGAAACCTGAAAGAATCCAGATGTGATTAAACCTGAACTCTGTTACATGATGGCAAGCATCTTGAGAAGACTACAGATACTTCTTGATTGTATATTTTGGATAATTTTATAAATGTAATTAAAGTTTGGCAACTAACAAAAAAATGCACTAAAAATGTGTTCAGTAGCCCTTGCCCTTAGGTGGGCATATTATCCCATATATTTTCATCCTGTTACTAAATAATAGATATTCACGAACATTGCATTATCGTTGTGCTTTTATATTTCTGCAACTGTTATTATACTGTTTATCATTTTGTTACTTTTTCTTTACTCAATGCTGTTTTGTTTTCTAAGTTTTTATTATGTTAATTTATTTGTGGGAATGTCATGTGTGCCACAGATGTGTCTGAAAGCCAGAGAACAACCTGAGGGAGTTAGTTCTCTCTTTCCAACATTTGTGTCTTGGGAATAAAACTCAGGTCCTATGTTTGGTAGCAAGCACATTTGTCCTCTGAATTGTCTCTGTAGCCAGTGTGTTTTTGAAATTTATGTGTAGTTCTTAGGGGTTTTTTCAGCAACCATTAATATTCATTCTATGAATAAATTTACCAGTTACTTTACTGGTAAACATTTAGGAGATTTCTCCTGTTTTTATTATAATACATCTTCAGTGAGTTACTTTTACGTATTTCTGTGACCATGTTAATAATTTTTATAAGCTATACACACATCTATAAGTGGATGTGAAGATACTTATATATTCATCATTACTAGATAAATTTAGACCCTCACCAATAAACATGAGAATTTCTAAATTCTCTATGTATTTTCATAATTTTATTTTTGTGAATCCAACAGACTTACCTATAATTTTCATATCTTAAATTGCTAACATTAGCTTTGAACCATATATGGCATTGCTTTTAGTGTGAATAGGAGGATAGCTCATTATTTACTTTTTCGATACAGTTTGAATATTACACACCATAATTAAAATGGGGTTTTTTTGCACATGTATGTATTTAGAGTGTGTTCCTATGTCTATGTGTGTTAATGTGTATGTGTATGCATGTGTACATGTGTGTGTAGATGCCCAGAGTCAACACTGGATGTCCCATTCACTTAGCTGGTCAAGTGCTGGGATTACAGGCCCCCACCATGCATGCTCTTATGTGGGTTCTGGGTCAGAACTCTGGTCCTTCGTGTTTACACAGCAAGCTTATTCAGGGGGCCTTATCCCCAGCCCTAAAGCTTTTGGTTCTTTAGTTTTTTGTTGTTTTAAATAACGATATTAGTAATACTATTTTTTTTCAGATCCAACATCTTGAATTAAAGAAAAAAGATAATATATCCATTGAGTTTCCATAATTCTGTAATATATATATAATATAAAGCAGAATAAAGATATTTGTTACACTATTCTGATTTATTTATATCTCGCTAGTTTCTTTTAACATACTAATTATGAAATAAATTTAACTTTAAATTTTATTTTTTTGCAATGTGAATACTCTGTTTACATTATTTCTACCCTTTCCTTTCTTCTCTCCTACTCCTCCCACAACTCCAACTCAAATTATAGTTAAGACTCTTCAACAGATCTTCAAAGTGTATAGCTTTCCTGGCTATGTGAAATGTCTATAGAATAGACGTAGTCATGTATTGCCCCTCTTTCTCTCAATGATTTAGAGTTTATGCCGTGTTACTTTCAGGATCATTCATTATTGGGCTCTTTTTATAGATGAAAGATGTCACTGAAGGAGTTGATATTCCAAAGAAACCTAGAATGGAGAAACCAGAGACACGCTCTTCTCCCATTACTGTCCAAACCAGCAAGGACTTAGCTATGGCTGACCTCTCCAGCTTCGAAGAGACTAGTGCTGATGATTTTGCCATGGAGATGGGCTTGGCCTGTGTTGTCTGTAGGTAAGTCACATCCCATCACAGAGTGTTTTATTTCTTTAGAAGGAGCAGTCTCCTTCTAATATGTTTGTTCCTACTCTTTACCCCCCCCCCACCACCATAGAATTTACTAGGAATTTTCTGTTTTGTTTTCAGTTGGGGTAAAGAACAAATAAATAGAACACAGCGCTTTAACACCGTGAAAATTCAGACCACGCTTTTTCAGTCTTGTTATGTTGTATTAACCCCGTGTGTATTCTTGAGTTCTAGACAGAAGTGACTATGCATCTTTTTAAGTGAAGGGGGATATGTCAGGAACCTCAGTTCCATCTTTCTTTTTAAGCTATCTTCATTGCTTTTTCTTTCTTTCTGAATGCTGATAGCACTTAAAAAAATTAACTGGTACATGTCATTTCTTAAAACACCATTATATCTATCCTAAGAATAGTAGAAGTGAATGTAGGCTATCCTGAGTGACATTTTAAAACATAATTACAGAAGCAGATAATTTAATGGAAGATAAACTATCTTCTTCTACTAGTATTTCCTGCTTGGTTTTTTGCTTGTTTGTTTGTTTTCCAGAAATAACTAAATTTCGAAGACGTTCATGTCAAGGGCTGATGTTCAGTTATTACCTAGCTTTCATTGCTTAGCATAAAAGTAATATTTTTTTGACTATTCTAAAAAAATGTTAACTTCTAATATATTGCAACTAGGAAAATAGAAGCTTTTGTGAGCCTTGGAAAATGAGTTGATGTGCTTCTGAGTAAAATCGCTTGTTTCCACTTATATTGCATATCTTACCCCTAATCAGCTATGAAATTAGCATCTTGTAAATGAATATTATGAAAGTACTGATGGGGAGAGACCTAGTGACTTTTATCTTTTTTTTTTTTTTGGTTTTTACGAGACAGGGTTTCTCTGTATTGTTTTGGAGGCTATCGGTCCAGCCCAGCCTCGAACTCACAGAGATCCGCCTGCCTCTGCCTCCCGAGTGCTGGGATTAAAGGCGTGCGCCACCACAAGATGAGAACCTACTCTAGTTATTTATGTACTGAGCATACAAGATGTTTGATATACATCGGATCAATGTATATAAATCTGAACAGGGTGTAGTACCAGGTGTATCAAAAAAAGTACTCATCCCAAAAGCATAAGAAAGCAATCACCACAGGACTATCGGGTTATACTAAGTGTCTTGCAAAAGATAAAAGAGTCACAGCCTGGCGGTGGTGGCGCACGCCTTTAATCCCAGCACTCGGGAGGCAGAGGCAGGTGGATCTCTGTGAGTTCCAGGCCAGCCTGGTCTACAAAGCAAGTTCCAGGACAGCCTCCAAGACAATACAGAGAAACCCTGTCTCGAAAAACCAAAAAAAAAAAAAAAAGAGAGAGAGAGAGAGATAACTTTGGTTTTCTAATTTTTTTTTTTCTCCAAGAAAGTTTGGGCTCTCACTGTAGCCCAGGCTGGCCTAGAACACAGTATATATATAGCCCAAGCTATCCTTAAACTCACAGTTATGTTGTGCTGAAGCTACAGTAAGCCTCCACACTCAGCTTTCCTAGCTTACTAATGATGAAGACTGAACCACATGTAGCTATCTCACAGAGGAATTTCATAGAAATACTAAGGAAGTGCTGTCATTAGTACAGGAAGAGTCTATCACCTTTTGAGAAATAGAAACAGACTGCAATGTTAAGTGACTAAAAATATAACTAAACTTAATTGAAATATTGTCATTATTGATTAAGCATAACCTATTACAAATGAAGGTCTTACATAGGCTTTGTATTAGTGTTTGTTATTTTCTTATTAATGATTTAAATGATTATTTTTCTGGATTTCTTTTCCTTTAACATAAACTTTACCAGAAGAATGTGGAAACAACTTTAAATTGTATGTTAAAGATACTACCATGTTTAATGAAATCTTTTTCTTAGACAAATGACAGTGGCTTCAGGAAATCAATTAGTAGAATGTCAAGAGTGCCATAACCTCTACCACCAAGATTGCCACAAACCCCAAGTGACAGACAAAGAAGTGAATGACCCTCGTCTGGTGTGGTACTGTGCCCGGTGCACCAGACAAATGAAGAGAATGGTAAGAACCACACTTTACATTTTAACCAGCATCTGGTGGTCTTTATAGATAGATGACTTTAAAATGAAAATTAGGACATTTAGCATACTGAAAAAAATAAGTTTTGTGTTTGCATGTGTACTGTTTGTATGAATTTATGTTGCTATTCTAAAAGACCAGAGCATATTACATATGTCCCCCTCTAGTCATTCTTTAGCCTACCCTAGTTTAAATAAACAGGAGTGAAGACACACAAAATAAAAATATTTTTATAAGCATGACACTAGTTATAAACATTTTATAATACTATGAAGCACCAATGGTGAAATACAAACTCCCAGTCTTTGTTGAGTTGTTAAAAAAAACATAGAAAAAAATCTATTCCTGAGTGAGTAGAAACTACCAATTCACAGATGTGCAGAGGCCTATGGCTATCTGTGTCTTTCTTTCTAGATTCTCCAGCCTTCTCATTGACACTGAGCAGCTTATAATGTACTGTCCCCAGTGTACTCATCATTAACATAACTGCTTATATTGAAAAGTTCTATAATTTAAAAATAGGTAAACTACTTTTATTTCTAAAGCTCTAAAGAAATCAAGAAGTTGCTATCTACTAGCAATTTGTCATCTCTTCCCCAACTGTCCCTTCCTGTGTCTTAGATTAAAAAGTCTCAACAGAAGCATTTCCATGTCTGTTAAATCAATTTCTGTATGTCTGACCATATATTCTTTAAGATCTCAATTTCTTTTTTTTTTGGTTTTTACGAGACAGGGTTTCTCTGTATTGTTTTGGAGGCTATCGGTCCAGCCTGGCCTCGAATGCACAAAGATCCGCCTGCCTCTGCCTCCCGAGTGCTGGGATTAAAGGCGTGCGCCACCACCGCCCAGCTAAGATCTCAATTTCTTAGCTAAAGTAAAAGTCAAGATACTATTTTATGTTTACTCAGATAAAGCAGAAATAGGAAATATTTTTATTCTGTCAAAAATGGTAAAAATTTGTTAGTGTGTATCCTTTTTCTTTGTAACAAAAAATCTATTTTTTTAGTTTCTTATTGAAATTAGCTAAGACTTCAACCAAAATTATTTCAGATGAGCAGCTGTGTTCTAGCCTTTACTTGGTAGATGGGCCACTCATGCACACACGCATGCACCCACGTACGCTCGCTCAAACTCACTCCCATGACTGTTGAGTTCATGACAGTAATGATTGCACCAATGTCCAGCTTGGAGAAACAATGAGGTTTTACAGAGGTTACCAACAGGAATGTTGATAAGGAAGGTACAAGGAGAAGAGCTGACGCAAAAGCAGCTCAGCACCAGATGTCCTACCCTAACATGGGTGGAAACTCCTGGGGCTCCTGCACAGCGTGAAGGCAGCTTCATGGTCCAAATACCTCTTTGCACAGTGTGAGTGGTCAGCATCTCCATCGCTAGAAACTACCTACTTCCTTTTGTATTTGTTGGGGTGGGCTCTCAGAGTCCCTGTTCTCCCCAGCCTGTGACCATTTGATCACGGCCTGAGGCTCGTGAGCCTCCTTCGACCTGTCAATTTCGAATTGCATGCCATACAACAGCAGTGTGATCCATTACAGAGCATCGACAGTCCATTAAAAATTGGTAACTTTTAAAAGAAATAACTTGTGAAAGACCCAAATTTCCAAAATATTTTCTTATTATTTCACTTACATCAATCTATGTCTGTGATCTAATCTCCCTTGTATGTGATCTTGTATAACTGACTTGATCTTACTGATTGTTTGAATTTAATAACCTTAAATTAAAATTCTTCTCTAGCTTTTCCCCACAGTTGCCTGAGCTAGATGTTATGCTTGATGTCTTTCATAATTGTTACACCTTTGTTTTCTAAACTTAGTTGTATTACATCATATACCCTTCACATCTGTTACTTCCCATCTCTTACTTCCCTAATCTACAAATCTCCCATTACTTCTATTTCAATAGCTTTGTAAGAGGTCTCGTTGCGTGCACGTCAAAGCATGTATGCAGTCCCTCTGCGTTCACCCATGTCTGCCTTCTAAGTCATCTTTTTCTGCCTCGCCATGCACAGAGGAATGCTGTCTACTGACTTCCTTCTCCTTCCAGCTCATGTGCAACTAACTGTCTTTCTCGTGCAGCCCAGGCCCTCCTTCTTACAGATGGTGCTGCCCCCACCCTGCTGGGCTGAGCCCTCCCGTGTCAATCGTTAATCAATAGGATCTTTCACAGACTCCACCACAGTCTACTCTGATCTAGGAAGTTCTCAGTTGAAGTTCTCTTTTCCCAGGTGACTCCAGATTGTGTCATATTGACAATATTACGTTTTACTTTATTTTTATTGAGGAACTGGGGATCCAAGCCAGGTCCTTGCATGTGCTAGCTAATAGTAATTATTATTATCAGCACTTAACATTATGAGATCTTAGGCTAAACTCTTGCATCATCACAATTCATCCTCATAAACACCCCTTTGAAACAGATGGTGCTGCCACCATTTTGCAGGTGAAAGGAATGAGACTCTTAGGCATTTATGTTCCACCTGCAGTAACACAGCTGGAGAAATAATGAGCAGGGTTTCAGCCCTTGTTCTCTTTGATACTAAAAACTGTTCAGTCGTTGCTCCATCCTGCATCTATAGCTAGGATTGTTCATACACTAAACACTAAGAATCTGAAAAATGATTAAAATTACCAGAGAATTTAGCTTTGTCTTAAAAATCAGTTACTAGTCAAAATAAAACTGAAAATGCTTAGGGAGAATGAGTAAAATTCTCCTTAGATAACATGGAAACTTATATTTTTACTCTTTTCCCAAGGATTTAATTCACTAGTACGAAAAACCTCAAAGATTTATTATTTATTCATGAATAATCCTTCCCATCTTTCTCAATATTTAAAACCATGTAAATTATCTGAGTTGTTTTTAACCCACTTCTAGTATCTTAAAACCTTATACCTGATCCCTAAAAAGAAAATAATTCTTTGATTAACCATAAAGAGAAAGAAAGTGCACTTCATAATGAGTGGTGCTAACTGGATGCATCAGTGATCCCCCAGTGTCTATGAATGCGGCCTCTATGCATTCCATCCACTCAGATTAAAAATATTTTTCAGTGGAGTAAGGGCATGAAGGCATCAGTACAAAGCATGTACAGGCTTGTTTCCCCTGCTATTATTTCTAAAACAATTCAGTATATAGCTGCTGTTTACATGACATTTACATTTAGTAACCTAGAGATGAGTTACTGTCTACAGAGGTCTTCAATAGGTTATCTATAAATACAATATTTTCCCTTAACACTTTAGGTGGAACCATGGGGCCTTACTTACTAGACAAGTGTGTCATCTGAGCTGTAGCTCCCAATCTTTAGGGGTATTTTGTTTTGTGTGTGTGTGTGTGTGTGTGTGTGTGAGAGAGAGAGAGAGAGAGAGACAGAGACAGAGACAGAGAGAGACAGGAGAGAGAGGAGACACAGAGACAGAGACAGAGGCACAGAGAGAGAGAGAGACAGAGGACAACGTTTTGGAGGGGAGTTCTGTTTTGGTGAGAGAGAAAACAACTTTGCAGAGTTGATTTTTTTTTAATTTGGTGTTTTGTTTTCCCCTCCACCTTTACATGGGCTTCAGAAATTGAACTCAGAACACCAGGCTTGTACAACAAGCTTCTTTACTCAATAAGACCACAGCCCATAGAGGGTTTTGTTTCTGCTTGCTTGCTTGCTTGCTTTTTGAGACAGAATCTCTGTATGTTGCCCTGGCTGACCTCAAACTCCCATCCATGTGCTTCTATCACCCAAATTCTGTGATTAAAGGCATATGCCACCATGCCTGGTTAACCCGTAAGTTTTTAAGACAAAGTCTTTATCAATAAATCAGGCTGACTTTGAACTTGTTTTATAGCCCAGACTGTCTCCAAACTCCTAATCTTGCATCAGCCTCCTGAGCACTGCAAGTACAGACAGACATCCCTAGGCCCAGATACTATGCCAGTGTCACCTAAGGAACTTGAACATCAATAGATTCTGTACTCCTCAGAGATTCTGGATCCAGTCCTGCGTGGATAACTAGATGTACCATAGTTTGTGATTTTCCTTTATTGAAAAGCCACTACTGTTCAGAAACTAATATATCTGCAAAACTATATGTTGGTAATTGTTTTTCTGTAGGCTCTATTTCCAGTATCACCACAGTATTTTTAAGTTACCATTCAGTAACTTTAGTTCTGTAATAAATTTTTGTTACTCAGTAAAGATTTTGTATATAATTTTTCCCTCTGATTTTCCTAGGCTCAGAAAACTCAGAAGCCCCCACAGAAACCAGCTCCCACTGTTGTTTCTGTGGCCCCAGCTATCAAGGATCCGCTAGTTAAGAAACCAGAAACCAAACTTAAACAGGAGACAGCCTTCCTAGCATTCAAGAGAACAGAAGTCAAGGTAAAGTGTGTTCCTCTTTTCAACTACATTAAATCTCGGCTGACTAAAGGGTAGTCGCTTAGTAAAAGTTTGATGAGAAACCTTATGATTTGAATGACTGATGTTAGAAGTGAAGGCTGCCTGTCATTAATAAGCTAGGAGGGAGCGTTTACATCAGACACTGACTTTCTGCTCTGAAGTACGAGGCATTGCTAGTTTTCCCAGGTTTGTGCTGTTTCCTGAACTGTGTTCTAAACCATCTTCACGCTCTGAAGCAACACAGGCCACAGCAGTCCTTAAAATCAAGAACTCAGCACACAGGCCTTACTTTCTTGCCTATCTTTCACCAAGCATTGGTCTTTTTTGTTTTTTTGGGTTTTTTTTTTTTTTTGGTTTTACGGGACAGGGTTTCTCTGTATTATTTTAGAGGCTGTCTGTCCAGCCTAGCCTCGAACTCACAGAGATCCGCCTGCCTCTGCCTCCCGAGTGCTGGTATTAAAGGCGTGCACCACCACTGCCCGGCACATTGGTCTTTTTAGTTGGTGAGTTTTGATGAAGGGTCACATAGTCATGTGGCAAACCATTTCATGTTTAATAGAAAGGAAAGGAGAAAAAAATGGATATTTTAAAATAGAACAGTAAAGGAATTGATGCTTTATAAGATGGTTTCCTAATCAGGACATCATAAAATAGTATTATATTACCACTTTTATATATTGTACATTCCCTTCTGCCTTCACCTCTGAGTGCTCTTTGAGACCCTCGCAAGTTCTCTCAAGATGAAGGTAGACTGTGTTTATACAGTGGTTGGTTCAAAATTAATTTGAACAAAGAGCCTTTTTCCTAATGTGAAAGTGGACAAAAATCATGTGTTTGAAAACAGTGCCACTTACATCCATCTCACTAGTCCAGGTAGGAAGCTGATCGGAGACTGAAATGTTAGTCTGACAAATCCTCTAGGAGCTGTCAGACTGCCCCAGAATGCCACAGTGCAGCCCAGGCAGTAACTCAGTCATCTGTATGCAAGTCGGGGATCTGTCACTGTAGTTTCAATGGAGACACACGTGAAACTGCGTTGTGAGCTCTTTATAGTGTATTCCCAGAGTTTAAACATCTGTTTGGTTTTTTTGTAGTGCAGTAGATGTTCACATTTTTGTGGCAACTTGGTTATTCTAAGTGGCTTCAAAACTTGTATATACTTGTTTCCTTTCACGTGTTCACTGTAAATAACTATTGATTGAATCTTTGACTTACGTATTTTTCCCTGAATATCTTCAGAACTTGTATATACTTGTTTCCTTTAACATGTTCACTGTAAATAACTATTGATTGAATCTTGACTTAGGTACTTTTTCCTGAATATCTTGGGTGCAAACAATTTTGTCCATTAAAGGTACATTCCGTTTGGATGTGTTATGAGCTAGGCGATACTTTCGTGGGTAGCAAAAGTGACTTGAAGAACTAAGTCTGATTCTCTGCTATGATTTGTGATTGAATCTAAAAGCCAGTTCCCCAAAAGAAGTTCATGTATTTTCTTTGAAATCGTTAAAACAATGTGGCATTAAGGAACTACAAGCCATATAGCATTCTTCCTGACTACAAGAACTTCCATGTACTTTTTCAATTTGGCTTCATAGAGACCTAACTTTGATGTATTGTCCAGGTTTTAACATCATCACTTTTTATATGTGAGTAAGTGTTTACATTCAAAGATACTATACGCGTGTTGATTATAATTGGCTCTAATGTAAGATTTATCTTTTTTTCTTAGCCACCCACAGTTATTTCAGGAAATTCTTCTGGTAGCAACGTGTCCTCGTCAGTAACTAGCGGCCTAACTGGATGGGCAGCTTTTGCAGCCAAAACGTCGTCAGCTGGTCCATCAACTGCAAAATTGAGTTCAGCAGCGCAAAACAACAGTGGAAAAGCTGCTGCCTCGTCAGCTAACCAGAAGCCCGTGGGTTTGACTGGTCTGGCAACGTCATCCAAAGGTGGAATAGGTTCCAAAATAGGTTCTGGTAACAGCTCTTCCCCTTCAGTACCCTTGAAACCACTCCCACCCCTAACCTTAGGCAAGACTGGCCTGAGCCGCTCAGTTAGCTGTGATAATGTCAGCAAAGTGGGTCTTCCCAGTCCTAGTAGTTTAGTTCCTGGAGGCGGCGGGCAGCTGAGTGGGAATGGAAATAGTGCTGCGTCAGGGCCCAGTGGGAGTGCCACAAGCAAAACCACATCAGAACCCAGCAGCGGCCCCTCAGCATCGCTTAAAGGGCCAACTTCCCAGGAATCGCAGCTCAACGCCATGAAGCGATTACAGATGGTCAAGAAGAAAGCTGCCCAAAAGAAACTCAAGAAGTAATGTGGCCAAATAGGTTTTTATATCATATTGCTCTAAAGATAAAAAAAAAATCCTTATTGGGACAAAACATGTAATATACTGTAACTTAATTAAAAAAAAACTTGATGATCACATCTCTATTGTTACGTTAAAGTGCTAATACTATTTAGCCAAACTTGGAACCGTTTATTTCAATCTGTTCAGTATTTTTATTTTAATAGCTTCCACAAAGTGTGAAAATAGTGATTATAATGACTGATTTACGATGAGACCTTCAGGAGATTGATGGCATATGCAAATGTAAAGAAATGTTCACCTGGCAAAATACCCCAAGATTTAAATCTCCAGCAATAAAGTACCTATGGGTGACAGGGATGACTCAATATAGTGTTTTATAATTGGCTCTCTGCCTTAGGGGGAAATCTCTCCCTCTCGCTCCTGTGAACTCTAGACATAATGTGATCCTACATGAGGTGACTCAAGTCATTGCCTTGTAAGCTAATGAGTTAGTTGGCCATCAGTTTATGTATATATTCCAACAAAGAATAGAATGCTTTCAGTATCAGACCAATAAATATATTATAGCAAAATGCAGCATCCTTTTTACAGTCAACAAATACCTCATCTTTTCCTGAAACTGAGTCTTGTGATTTCCTATATTCACTGAGTAGAATTGTTTTATCACCCCTGATGTGTCCTACAAAATCTGATCTCAAAACATCTTCCTGTATCCCTCGGTTTCCTAGCATCATTACCCTAAAATAAATTGATAAATAGTCTTTGTAAAGATAAAACTTCTAAGCTTGTTCTTTTTATTTGGAAAGCCTTTAAATTACACTGTTAAATATTGGCATTAATTTATTTATAAGTTAGAATCCAATACTGAAATAAACCCATTATTTGGAGATGGGATAAATATCTATTTACATGCTTAAAAATCTGCCTGTAGTTGTTTTTAAGTAACACCTTTCTGTTGATGAACATTGTTTTGGTAAAAACTCCAAATTCTCTATATAAAGAGTTCAAAAAAGTTTGTTGTTTTTAGTTCAAATGCAGTTTTGGCTTAACAGAATTATGTGACATGAGATAATGTCAACAGCTGTTAGTTACTGTAACTCACTACCTTGAAGACTTTAGAGAAATGATGCTTAGTACAGTTTACACATTAGCATTTGAATTGAGTTTTTACCCCATTACAGAAAGTGTGCTGGAGTTAAGGGAAGCAATTATTTTGATTTTTGTGACATTTCCTGGAAATTTTAATGAGTTTAGGAAACAATTAGTTTTTCAGTGAATAGGATTCTGTGTATAGGGTGTGTGTGTGTGTATTTGTGTGTTGTAAGTGTGTAAAGGGGCCGAGCTCATTTTGGTATTTTTAAGGAATATTTGATAATAGAATTTATCTCAAATAGCTCTTAGGCCTTTTTTTTCTCATCTCAAAGTATGCTACAAGAAGCAGTTATGAAAGTAGCAATAGTTTGTTTTTATTTGATTATGCATAACAAAACAAGTATTTCTTGCACTACTCAGCTTATGTAAGGGGGAGAGAGCTTGTTTTTCCTTGAGCACTGAAATGTGCAGCTCTCTGTTGGCTCAGTGAATGGCTCAACAAATGAGTGGATGTCTTAGTTTTCTTTTCTGCTGTGGTAAAGTATCTGACGAAGGCAACTTAAGGGAGAAAGGGCTTACTTTGGCTTATAGTCTCCAAGGGGTAGAATCCCTTGTGATGCTGAAAACGTGGCATAGAAGCATGAGGCCAGTTGATCACATTGTCTCAGCAGACAGGAAACAGGAACAGGAAGTACAGTAAGGCTACAAAACCTCAAGGCCTTCCCCAGTGCATGTTTCCTCCTGGAAGTCTCAACCAGTAGATCCATAACTTTCCCGAAAGCACCACCAGATGGCAACAGAATGACCAAGCATGAGAGCTGATGGAGAGCATTGCACATTCAGACCACAACAGCAAGTGTTCTTGTAAAGTTTTAGGATTGACATTCAAACTGCATTTGAGTCATTATCCTTTTTCCAGTTTTCAGATTGTACTTTGTATGAGATTAACCCTAGAATTTAGTCACTTAAAAAAAAAAGAAGGGCTGGAGAGATGGCTCAGCCGTTAAAGGCTAGGCTCACAACCAAAAAAAAAAAAAAAAAGGAAATGGCACTGAAATAACAGTCATAATGACTTCAACCCTTTTGTTTGGTTTTTATTTTTCGAAACAGAGTTTCTCCTTGTAGCCCTAGCTGTCCTAGAACTCACTTTGCAGACCAGGATGGCCTCAAACTCACAGAAATCTGCATGCCTCTGGCACTTGAGTGCTGGCATTAAAGGCATGTACCACCACCACCCAGCCTGCCCAAGTTTTCTACTTTATAAAACACAACTCAGATGAGATAAAATGGAAGACACCTAATACAGATGGCCCCTGGTCTATAATGCTGTAATTGTTTTTTTTTTTTTTCAGTAGTGTAAGTGATATGCATTTAGTAGAATCTGCATTTCTGGTTAACTTCCTGGGCTAGTCACACACCATATAACACTTCCATTTCTGGGCAGGGGCAGCAGATTATAGCATGCAGTAATTCATGTGATCATGTCAGATGGCAACTAATACTCTAGTAGTGCCAAGTTGCTGAACTCCAATGGTTAGTAGGTCAGGATATTTAAAACCCAGAGTGAGTGTGTCAGGATGTGACTTCACTATAAGTCAAAGCACATCTGTATTTTAAAGCTACATGGTTCCAATTCTTCACAATGATGTGGTAGTAGTTTTATTAGTTACAAATTGTTATGACCACAGATTACACAGGAAACATCACTTTGAATTTTCATCAGTACAATAATTTTAAAAATCACAATAATCACAATAAATTAGAAATGTGATGGATACATTCAGATGCCTTAGTGGAGGTTTAAACAAAACTAATTTAGTAATAATATAGTCCCAGGATTTCTGCGAGAATATCTCAATTCTAGTCTTTTCTAAAGTGTTGAGTTACTTTTCAAAATATTCAAATGTTCCTGCCTATAACAGTAGCTGTCTAAAGACATCTCAGCTTGAGATCCAGGAGCCCTGAGGAAAGGTAGTTTGTTCTGACATAGCTTTGTAGATCACATATAGTGATGAGTTTTAATGTCTATGTGTTTATAGAGAGGGAAGCAATTACAAAATGAGACTCTTAAGGAGTTGCATCCTTTACACAGGATCTGTTCCTTTGGAACTTCAAGTCCAGTGTCTGTCTCGGTGGTGACCTGTAATCACATCCTCATGATCATGTATAAATGTTCAAGTCCATTCAGTCTGAGTTTTGTGAGGTCTGAATGCCGGATGTGAGGTCACTAGTTAGCAGTGCAGTGGTATATTTCGAAGCAATAGTTACTACAAACAACTTACGGGGTCTTTATGTCTTAAAATTTTCTCCTTTTATTCATACATCTGTATGAGTATAATGTGGTAGAAAAAAAACCTCTCAGAAGCAAATGAGAAAATCCAAGAGTTTTTAACCCAATAGTAACTTTGTGACTTCTCCATGATTCTACACCCATAATAATTTTATATTACTAGATGTATGTTTTATACTCACTACACTTTATTACTACATACACTAGTAATTTTACATATGTGCATTTCAAAATAAAATGTAGATAAGATGTATATAAATTTATTTAGCTACAAAAGCTTCCTCTTCATCTTGGTTAAAATAATTTCCCACTTCAGAGGAACCTATTCTGTACAATATTAATTTAAAAAGGAATATAACAAAATGATTAGCTTGCCTAGTTGTAATTATACTGATGCAACCAACAATTTCTTTTAAACTGCTTAAATATAAACCATTCTATAAACAGTCTTGCAAATTTCCTTTTCTGAGGCCTAGTAAAATAATGTCTAATTTTAAAATTACAATTTATTTGATTTTCCATAAAATAAGTAGAAAATGAAGGTATTATGTATTTTTTTCAGAGCTCACTTATAGTAATGTGCCCATCATGCTAGAAAAGTTGCAGTCACTGGCTTCATAACAGTTCTTTCTCTGGAGCTAACTGGCGTATCGATTGTCCTGGTGTAGCTTTTCAGTAGTCAGACAGGAAGCATCACTTGTAGACTCAGTAGACAAAGCTTCACCATCTAATCACTTATTTCGGCCAGAAAAGCAAATCTGTGCTATTACATATTTTGTTATTTTTGTGTGAAGTTCAGTGTTACATACAGGTGTTCAGGTAATACGCCTCAGTGTACAAATTATGTCTCTCTGGGCATTCTCATAATATCCTTATGTAGCAACTTTGAATTTCTTTTTTTTTAACCTTAGGCAAACAAATATATGTTTTAAAGTTGAATTCACAGGGCAATTAAAAGAAAATCTTGAAGTCTCTAATATCTTTTAGAAAATCTTTTGTTATTTTACTTTAAAAAGAAAATATGCAAATGCAATGTCAGGAAAATTCCATAAAGCTGTTTTAATGAATTTAGTAGTAGTATAAACTTTCCCTTATTTAAGGGAAGAGGGCATGATATTCAGTCAGCTATACTAGGAGAAGTAGAACTCCTTATTTTGTTATAGATACTGCTCAGTAATAAATATAATATTGTACCTCAAATGGATCTAATCTTTCAAAGTAAGAAATTTTAAAATGTGTCATTTGGATTTTTATGGGCAATTAAAATCTACCTTAATAATGAGTAACCACTAAAGTCAAACAAAATTAGAAGTCTCAGTGTTACGTGGTCCTCTAAACACACTTTGTTTATTGCCAGTGGTCATCATGTTTTAGTTCTATAAGTAGAAGTATCCTCATTACAGTGTAAACTTTCCATGGCCAGGCACTGCATTGATTTGAAACGTGCTAATACCCTCAAATCTACCAGAACTTCTGATATACAGAAGTCATTTAGCAAATGTTAACCTAGTATACACAAGCCAGACAGTTTGGTCTTCATAAAACCTCTGTAGAGTTGCTTCATCCAACGATTTTCATTTTCCTCTTCTTGTGAACACTCTCCCTGTGCTCATTTCGTCCTGGTGTCTGTCCTACTTTAACTATTTTAATCTAACAGGTAGTTCTCTGAGCAGTACCCAAATTAAAGCACAGTGCCCTGAGCATGGAGTTAGAGCTAATACAATTCTCACTGCCTAGTCTGCATAAAAACTGCCCACTGACGTATTCACATCCTGGCTCCTCCTGTCTCGGAATCACTGAGTGATCTGAAATGTCTCCTCATTAAAGCATCATCAGTAACCATGTATGACAGCTTTTAAACAATTCTACTTTCAAATATGCTTAATCACAAGAATAAAAGAATGAATAATAAATCTGGACATTTCAGTTTTCTCTCCCTGGCACATGCAGAAGTCTTTGGAAGTTCTTAATTTTGAAAAGCTGCTAAATATTGAACTGTGGGTCAGAGAGAAGAATGATTTCCTCCAGGTCCATGACTTACATCACTGTTTTGCACTCAAGGAGTGTGTATGGTGTAGTCATTAGGAACAGGGAACTTGGAACCACGCTGCCCGTGTTTGACACACCTCGATCACTTGCAAGCAATGTTTATTCTTCATGTTACACTAACTTATGTATAAATCTATTAAAGATGTCTATCATGTGGTACACTTTTAGTAAGTTTTGGATATTATCAATATATTATGTTTCCCTTACAATTAAAAATGTGTTAAAATGGAGCCCCGTATTAAAGATTTCTAATCAGCTCTTAATCATTTTTATGTGTAATTAGTTTATTCTGTGAGTTATATGTATTTGTATAATCTGTATTATACTCACCATGTATAAACTGCAGAAATATATTATGTGTGCTTGTAAACATTTTCAAATAAGAAATGTAAAAAAATATGTTTAAGGCAAAGTATAGTAATATTACAATAAATTGAAAAACCTTATTCTTATATCAACTCTTTGGTGATGATAAACAAAACTGTATCTTTTCAAAACATTGCTATCTTTAAATATGTAGCTGGAGCCTAGATTGTTAACTCTGCCATTTTTGTTGGTAATATCTCCGTCAACAATTATTCTTTATGTATTTATGTATCATTAAAATCGCCCTATTAGGAAGCAAGGTTTTCCTTAAAACATATGCGCTGTCAGTTCACACAGTTTCTGGTTTGAAGTTTCCATGTGTGTTTTATGAGGTAGTCAGTAAGCGACTTGCCAGGGAATGAATGTCACTTTTTGCTTATTTCTTAAGCATATGTCATCTTCCCAAGGTAGTTAGCTGGCACATACCCCTGCTGCCCCTGTGCTTCAGCTAGCCACCACTCTTTATTCCCACTTAGATCACAAAATCTAAGTATGTGGACTCTCTGGTACTCCTGCAGACTGAGCTCATGGTCGCTCCGTGCTTGGAAAGCATGGACTGCATAGAAAATCTAAACAAAAAAAAAAAAAAAAAGACATTATTAGAACCAGAACCTTAAACTTCAGAGAAACTTAACAAATGTTTACCCTTTTAGAAGAGATGCTAAGGTGCTCCTAGTTTTTTGGCAGCCACACAGTCCAGCTCTTCCTGATGGATTTGGTAGACTATGACATACCAAATCTGTGGCAGAGAAGGATGGGAATAGGCACTCTTTTTCTATTGGAATGAGTTTCGATTGTGCATGCTTGGTTGGCAGTTTTTATGAAATGCTTTTGGTCATGAATTCTTTGAATCACTCTCTAAAAAATCTCTTTGACAGACGGAAAACCCAGTCAGACCATTTCTGTACATCGACATTCCAGTGCATAGAGTAAACAGTGGCAGGGATGTGGAAATGTGTCAAAGAGTTAGAGAAAATAAATTAAAGACCCTCATAGTAAGTAATTTTGTAGTCATTAAAATAGCACTTTATGAGAATAACCACATAGAACATATGTATACTAAATATTTTAAAATGTAGAATTACACCTGGAAGATGGCTCAGTAGTTAAGAGTACATGAGCTTTTGCAAAGGACTCACTTTAAGTCTCAGCACTCACTTGGGAGTTTTGCAACCAGTTGCAGGAGTTCCAGTTCCAAGGTATCCATTGCCCTCTTCTGACTTGGAGGGTAACTGCACTCACACATACACATACCAACACATAGACACGCATGCAAAAAATTAGATGAATAATGTATGCCTAGAATTACAAAATAATTTCTCTGAAAGATATTTCACAGTTATCATATAAGTTTGAAGACCTCAAATCAGTGTTTAATTCATCTTCCAGTAAAATCATAAGACTGCTAATAAAAATGTTTCCTTACAATAGAAAATTAAACAACCAGCATCTGTACATTCATTTCATCAAACAGCAAAAAACATTATATCATAAACTGTATAACTCAGCTAAGGCAATAATGAATAGTGATAAGAGAAAATAACAAAACCACGGAACCACCATCGCCAACAATAAGCTACACATAAACACTAAGGTGCATTTGGAAGGAAATGGTCTTTCATAAGGGGCCAGTTAATAAAGGAGGTCAGCGTGTCACATCCACAAAGTAGTAGGCAAAAAAGATTGAAAATCGAGGGCCAATAGATCAGGGTTCTTTGAGAAATGAATTGAGGGCACGGAGCTGGAAGAGAGACGGGATAGTGTGGGGACAGGGCCAAGACTATACTGGTTATATAAATCTCAAACCATCATTTACCTCAATAAAACACTGATTCCATTGACTAATACCTTAACAAGGAGCCTGAGGCATTATTCAAGGAAAGGAACCATTTTGCTAGGGTCACAAGACACCACCCATCACTCCCACTCCCTGGCAACCTGCAATTCTACGGTAATAATGAGGTAAACTTAGGAAGAAGTTAGTAGGTCTTTTCTTTTTTTTTCCTTTTTTTTTTCTTTTTTTTGGTTTTTCGAGACAGGGTTTCTCTGTATTGTTTTGGAGGTATCAGTCCGGCCCAGCCTCAAACTCACAGAGATCTGCCTGCCTTTGCTTCCCGAGTGCTGGGATTAAAGGCGTGCGCCACCACCGCCTGGCTTAGTAGGTCTTAAAGACAGAGAGCCTTCATGGATGGGATTGATTTTTATAAAGTCAAGGCAAGACCCTCATCCCTTCTAAGTGAAAAGCTAGCCAAAAGGTGCAATTCATGAACTACAAAGTTGATTTCATCAGACACTACAAAATGATGCCTTGATCTCAGACTTCCAGTCTCTACAATTATGAGGATTTTATCATTGGTAAGCCATCCAGTACATGCTATTATGTTAACGACAGTTTAACTGACCCAAGGTACACCTCTCAACTGGCCATGTATGCCATGCTGAATAGTAATGTTTAAATGTTTACTTAACCTAAAAGGTCTGGATAGCATAAAGAGATTGTGGTACATGCAGGAAAATAGATTATCAGAAATGAATTACTTTGTTTGGAAGTAAAGAAGAAAACAGAATGGAGGAGCTATAAATTCTTCAGGAAGTTTCAGCGGTGATAAATACCTTTTACTGAGCCTGTGGCAGTTTACGTCACATGGGCTGTATCCTCAACAACCCTCCCAGTTAAGACTTAGGAGCATTCCTACTAATAGGGCTACCCAGTACTGCCAGGACCCATGTCTTCTAACTCCCAACCCTGTGCTTGATCCATTGCTTTTTAGGATTTTAGGATTCAAACTCTTGTTCTAAGAAAGAGATACACAGTGTATTCTTGGAGAAAGGCTCTGTGGTCCCTCATCTGTCACTACTGTTCTGTAGTTTTGAAAGTGACAATATTGAATAGGTCCACAAGATTAGTGTGGTTAATTTGGTTTGCAAAAGCTTCCAGGAGTGTGACAAGCTAAATTATAGTCCCAGAATAATCTATAAGAGCTGGAATCAGCAGTGTGGCCATCTTTGCAATTTGAATCAATAACAAATATGCTTTCCCAGTGCAGCCATGGATTTCTCAGAAGGATGAATTAGCTACTGTCCCATCCCTCAACACCTGTGTAGTCTTTCACTTTGGCACAAATTTCCTCAAAGGAAAAATAAAATCTGATTGGATAAATTTACTATTGTGATATGCATTTTGTTGCTGCTTTTTATTTTGTTTTGTTTTGAGGCAAAGTCTCACTATGCAGTCATTGGCTTGCCCGCAGACCAGGCTCACCTTCACTCCACAGAGATCTGTTAGCCTCTGCCTCTAGAGTATTGGAATTAATAGTGTGTGCCACCATATCTGGGTTAAACTATATAGCTTAGACAAATATAAATTCTCATAAAAATCATAAATTTAAAATTATATAACAGTTTTAGAATACCATGGCCCAAATTTGATTCACACTGGTAATTTCTAGTTCTTATGTAACATGCTAAATAAAGGCATGCCTTATATATGCAAAATTGGGCTAGGTCTGCTTTGAAAGAGTGCTGTCTCTGTTCCTCTAACCCTTTTTATTTCCTTTGTTGTTTAGGTGAAAATTTAGAGGTTTTCAACTTGTCATGATCTTAAGAGCTCAGTGATTTCTTATTTTCAAGTCTCAGTCTACACTTTCTAACTTTAAGTGTGGGTTTTTTTTCCAGAAACATTCATTAAAATGTTATTAATATGAATCATAATCACATATGTCTTTTTTCCTTGTTATTTATTAAAATGTTTCAATGATTTATACTTTGCTGCATTTCATTTTATTGATGATAACCTGGCAACGCAGCCCAGCTCTCCACAGCATTTGGTTTAGAGTCAGCTACATCACGACTCACCCAGATTATTACCCACAAGCCTCACACTGTTCCCTGTGACACCACTGCCGCCTCAGCGGTCTGACTCTACACACTTGTGCGTTTATTTCTTAACTTCCCTGCATTGTGCAATCTCCTTTTATTGATTTTTATCCCAATTCTCCAATTATGAACAATAAAATTCATATTTTAATTTTCCTTTCCAAAAAAGCTTTAAAACCAGTATTTACTGTATTACTTTCAAAGCCAAAATAATTACACTGCATAAAAAATACAATTCTTTTCTCTCACCCTCTAGAAGCAAGTTTTTATTTTCTTCACTCAGTAATTATATATTTTCATGAACAAGTAGGTTTTTATGAAGTAAGCTGTAGGTTTAATAAAAATGTTTTAATATGGATTCAAATATGAGGGCTTCTCGAAGACTAAATCACAACTGAGAGTCTGTGTGGGGGTTTCACTACAGGGTTCTCCCTTTGTAGTCATCTATAGGACTTGGGTGAATTTGAAGCTATTGTCATAAAAGGATGGTTAAGAAACTGAGCCGTGCCATAGGTGCTGTGGAGCTTCTGACATAGTTATGACGAGAGGACAAAGGTAGATCCCAGGGACGTTGGAAAGTAGGGTAATCTCCAGCATACACAAGTAGTTCTGATGGAAAAAAACAGCTTCAAAAGTAAACAAAGAAAAAAGCCACCTACATGCTATAAATACCTTTATTCCTTTCCCCCTCTCCACTGTGTCCTCCCCTCCCTGCCTTCCTGAAATGGTAATAAAAATTGAAGATACTAAGTAGCATCAGTCTTCCGGGAAATGGAAATCAAAACAATCAAGAGACAGCAGGTTACAAGATAAACTAGCATTGCCCAGGAAGACCCAACAACCTTCTTCCATTTCCGGTAAAAGGTAAAATGTGAATGGACACTCTGAAAAATGATTTGGCATTTTCTCTAAAAGTTAAACATAAATTTACCATGCCAGGGTACAAATCCATTCCTGATGTCTATTTAGGAGAAGTGAAATCTGCCAAGACTCATACATTAATGTCCATAGCAATATTATTCAGAATAGCATCAAAATAGATCTTGCTAAATATACATTAACTGGCAAATAGTTAATCAAAATGTCATATCTGTTAAGAATATATATATATGATTATCAAATGCACGATAAAAAAGGCCATGTATAAAGCATCATATACAACTCCACCCATGTGAAACATACAGAAAACATGTAATACAGAGATGGAAAATAGATTAGTGAATTCCAGGAACAGGAGGTGGGAAAAAGCAAGGAATACAAATGAATCCCATGGATCTTTGGGCATGAAAGAAATGTTCTAAAATTGGTTTGCACAATTCTGTAATTACAAGTAAAAGTCACTGGATTTTACACAGAAATTAAGTGAATTCTATGGCATGTAAATAAGAGCTAAATAATGCTATTTATGAAGGGTAGTGCGTCAATCTCTGTGAAGATTTTCTACATAACCTTTGACTCCTCAATATTTTTATTAATATCCTTACAAATGTATTTATAAAAGCATACAGAAAGAGACAAAGAATGCTCCTGGAATTATTATTTTTACACTTTAAAAACTAAACATCTTAAATATTTTAAGTGGGTTAGTAGTTACATATATGACTTATTCTATAAAATGCTTGTGACAACATATGTTCATAATTCTACCACTCAGAGGACTGAAGTGAAAGGATAGCCTGGGCATATCATAAGATTCTGTCTTTAAACTAAAACTTTTAAAGATATTTCAGGGAATTGTTTGAAGGTAGAGTTTGTTTAATTGTAAAAAAGTAACATATAATATGTTTTATTTGTGTATGGATACAATATAGCTGAAAGATGTGCATGGGATGATGTCGTTGAAGAAGATCACTAAAGGGGAAGGCAATAAAGACCTCACATTTAATTTATGTATATTGTTCCATTTTCATTTTCTAAAAATAAAATGTATTACCCCAGTGGAAAAGAAATTTAGGCTAATGGAAATTACTAAGTTAAAAAGGCAGAAAATTAGTTGGTTACTACTTGGAGATTAATAGTTGAATATACTGAAACTTTATGAGGTAGCAAAAATGAACCTTACATTGTAATTAGCTTACCAATTTGTGAAGGTGTTATGCCAGTCTTTGCATTGGTGCAACGACAGAAAGACAAGTTAGAAAGCTTTCTTATATAGCATTAATATGAGATGAACTGTCCAAAGCCGGGTGGTGGTGGCGCACGCCTTTAATCCCAGCACTCGGGAGGCAGAGGCAGGTGGATCTCTGTGAGTTCGAGGCCGGGCTGGACCGATAGCCTCCAAAACAATACAGAGAAACCCTGTCTTGTAAAAACCAAAAAATAAAAAAAAGAGAGATGAACTGTCCAAGTACTACTCAGCTCAATGAAGACATTGCTTCTAGAGCAGGGGTTCTCAAGCTTCCTGATGCTGTGACCCTTTAATAGAGTTCCTCCAGCTGTGGTGACCCCCAACCATAAAAGTATGTTCATTACTCCTTCATAACTATGCTTTTTGATACTATTACGAATTGTTATGTAAATGTCTGTGTTTTCTGATGGTCTTAGCGACCCCTAACCCTAAAGGGGTCACCCCCCAGATTGAGAACCACTGTTCAGAGGATTCAGAGACAAGTTCCTACCCGATATTGATGACCACGGCTCAGTTTCCTTTCTCCAATGGTGGAGCATTAGAAAAGAAATTTCTGACCACTCTGAATACTTAGCAGAGGAGCGGTGACTGCTGTGATTTTGTTAGATCTCTATCTGTCAAGAGTTTGGCATGCATACTATCTCAAGTCAAAACACCAACTCTGCAGTGTCGTTTTTTTATTTTTGAGGAAATGGGTTTAGATAATTAAATATTTGGCACAACAGTCCACAGATGGTATGTGGTAATAGACCCAGAACTTTTCGATGTCAAAGTCGGAAGTTTCCCAGTAAGCATTTCAGCTCAATGTGAGCAGTCAGACCTGCTTTCATTTGAGTGGCAAGTATGTCTTCTACCTCAAAGGTTAATGTCTTACCTGTTCATCGACCTCTTGAAAATTATCAGCATCAGCACCGTTTGTCTCAAACTTCCCACAAGTGCCACTAAGAGATGAGCTGCTGTCACTTATGCTGCCTTCAGGAGTGCCCGTGACACTGTCGCCTGCTGGCCGGCAAGATACAAAGAGGCTGAGGTTCTCAAAATCGTCATCACAGAATCTGTTCTCAGCATCTGCCTTCTGCTCCTTTGCTGGGTTGTAGGGCTTTAGGAAGGACGAATACACGTAGCCTTTTACAACTGGTAGAAAGAAAAAGAAAGCACCGGGGTTACATGTAAGACCTTCCCGAAACACGCAGAGACTCCTGGGAAAATCTCAACCTGAAGAGCAGTAGTAGAAGTTCTGTGGGACAAGAAACTTACATCCTGTGTCAACAAACCACCTGCTTGTGCTCCCCAGGGGATCCTTCTGTTCCAGGACCGCTACCAACTCTCCTTCTAGAAGATTGATGTCGTGCTCTTGGGTGGCATTGCACTTCCGCTTAGCTCGGTAGATTTCTTCTGCTCCATATGTGGACAGAAGTTTGGAGCGGTGATCGTCAGTTTGATGTGGCACTTCTGGCTGGGAAAAGGAAGAAGTCGTGGTTCAGGCAGACATACAGTGAAATCCTCATTGAGTTTATAGAGATTTTCCTCTAGAGAACTATTTCTCTGTGCAAGTTGCATACCAATCTGGATATACTGCAGGGCAGATGCTTATGTCAGGCTCTAACTGTATTCAGCTAAGATTTTCAGTTAAAAAATCTCGAGTAAGCACATGAGGGCAGTGTTGTAGAAAAGAAAGAAAATTCAACCGGGGCTAAGAAGGCTCTAGGGATGGCAAGGTGGTTCAGAGGATAAAAGCACCCGCCCCAAAGTCTGGTGACCTGGGTTCAATCCCCAGAACCCACGGAGTGGAAGGAGAGAACCACTTCCCCTAAGTTATGCTCTGACCTCCAAATGTATTTCTCTCTCTCTCTCTCTCTCTCTCTCTCTCTCTCTCTCTCTCTCTCTCTCTCTCTCTCTCTCTCTGTGTGTGTGTGTGTGTGTGCAACATACACATACACAGGAAAAATAAGGTAAATTTAAAAAAAAAGGTTTAAAGAAAGCAGACATTCATGGAGTGATATTGTTTCACTCCAGATACATGGAGGAGGACCTATGCCCTCCCCCAAATGATGTGACAGATTCCCCATGGAAGACCTCACTGTTCTTGGGGAGTGGGTGGGGGGTAGAGGGCATAGGAGGATGGGAGGGAGAGGGAACAGGGGATTCATATGTAAAATGATTGTAAACTATTAAATAAAAAGGTAGATTAAAAAAGGCAGAGGTTCTAACAACTCCTGACTATGATAGGTTACTGCTTTGTATTTACTTCCTTGCATAGTAAGTACTTTATAATTGTATTTCAGTAAATTGCCTATGTGCATCTTTTTATGGGTAAACAAGGCCGGAGTTGCAAAGAGACACTTCCCAAACTCTGGCACTAAGTGACTTTAGGAAAACTACTGTATCTCTGGAGGCTGGAGATGCAATAGTTTGAAAATGAGGGGCTGCACTGTACTATTTATCTCTTTAAAATCCCAGTCAATAAAATCTGAGGATCCACTGTGATCAAGCATGTTTTGGCATGTTAGGGAACTATCATGAATGAAACAGAAAAAAATCACACTTATGGAGGTTATAGCATAAAAGATAGAAACGGAATAAAGCTTAACAAGCAAATGGCACCTTATTGGATAATTGGATTGGTATGGGAAGCAATGTGCTACAATTTGGACAAGGCAAAGAGATGACATCTTCACCATCACAGACACTGCTAAACTCACCAGAATCTGAGCGGGTTTCTTCTTCTCAAAGCTAAGTTTCCTCTCAATAAAGGTAGAACTGTTGTCCTTCACAAAATTCAAGTTTTGAACCTCTTCCAGCACTCGATTTTGGATCTCAGCGATGCTCAAGACCGGCAGCAGCACCTGTGGGGAAAACAGTGGCGCTGTCAGATAACCAGCCACACTGGGCACTGACTTCGCCAGGTTGCGGCGATGGCGGGAATGCAAGACAGTGCCACAAGGAAAAATCCAGACAATGTGAGAGCTTCTTTAGTGATGGGCAGTCTGATATTTCTGAAGCCACACAAAACGGTAGGGATACTGTTCTTTCTTAAGTTTCAAGACTCCATAGCAGAACAAAACACAGAAGGGGCAAGAAAGACCCAGAGGTAGAGTTCTGAAGGTGCAGTGTTAGCAGCGTCTCAGGTGGGACAGTGGGAGTGTGCAGGGGATGAGGCTGGTTAGGAGCGTGCGTGTGTTTGTCTAATACGTTTAACACATACGGAAGCTGGAAACTGGGAAGGGGCAGTTGTTGGGGGTGCAAATAGTAGAGTATATGAGGGGGTGTCGGGGGCAGAGGCAGAAGGGGTCAAGCAGGCCAGGAAAAGGGTTAAACGTAATGAGGAAACTATTTGGGGCCTATACTCTTGCCATCCAAGTAAAAAATATAATAGGATGTAGAACATTGGAAGAATATTGGGAACTAAAGGTTTAAGCAGGAATAGGGCAGGTAGGCAGTAGTGGCGGGGGGGGGGGGGGGATATATGAAGAAACCTTATTAAACTCACTAGTGTGCAAGTTAATTGGAAATATAGTTTCTTTAAAAAATGAGTTTAAACCAAAGTATCTCCCACATCAGTGAACGATTCTGCTGTCCGTAGATACAGGCTACTAAATAAAAATCTCAGTGCCAGACATGGACTCCTCCCTTTCAGTTTTTGGGCAGAGACACTCCAGATGCACCCAAAATAATACAGGGCATTTCCATTGCTCTTTGGTGCCCTCCACAGGTAGATGGTAAGGCTGTATTACGGAAAATATCATACATTTGGTTGTAGGACCCAAAGAAATAACTCTTGAACTGACCAGGAAATTCTTTTTTTTGTTTGTTTTTTCAAGACAGGGTTTCTCTGCGTAGCTTTTTAAACCAGGCTGACCTAGAACTCACAGATATCTACCTGCCTCTGCCTCTCGAGTGCTGGGATTAAAAGCATGCACCACCATCGCCCAGCTTATTTCTTCTTGATGGTTAGCTTTTGTCTTAGTTACCGTTTCTATGCTGTAAAAGGCACCATGATCATGGCAACTGTTATAAAGCAAAACATTTAATTGGGCTGTCTTACAGTTCAGAGATTTAGCCCATTATCACCATGGTGGTACATTGAGGTGTGCAGGCAGACATAGTCTTTAAAACCATGTGATTCAAAATGCAGAAGGACATCTGACCACTGTATACTTAACAACACACAGGGGCCACACATGCACACTGAATGCGGACCAAAGTTGAGGTGGCCAAAGGGCAGCACTGTGCTCACCGGCTTGACTGTGGAATAAGCCTCCAGAGCCATCAGCATCAAGTCCCGGAGGAGGGTGACGAAACTACGCAGGCAGTTCAGCAGGATCTTCCTGGCCGCCTGGTTGAATGCCTGGAGCTCTTCCACAAGCTGGGCATTGAGGGCCTCATACTCCCTTTTGGCCAAGTCTGATTCATCCGCTGCTGACCGCGGCAGGGAGCTATTGTAGTCCAGTAGTTTGTCATAGCGTTTTTGGATGAGCTTCTGAGGCCCTGGGAATAAGGACAGCAAGGCTGACAGGGGGGTCAGGATGAGTTTCTGTGAGCGAGCTACCTGCAAAAGAAAAGCCCAGTCCCATTACCAAAAGAGGGATGGCTCATTCCGCGACCGGTTCTGCTCTCTGTAGGCTACCTCCTCCTCTCTTTAGAGGCTCAAAGGGCACAGGACAGCACCCAGTCCTGTGAGAAGAGGGTCTCACATTTAGGGGGGCTGCCTAAGTTTGCTTATTCAGGCTTAAACCGGCAAGATTGGACCTGAGGATGAGCGAGCCTGCTCGCCCGGATCATGGATCATAACTCTTCTGTCTGTAGCTGTGCTGAGCTCGCCTCCTTGAGGACCCTCCCTCTCACTCCCTCCTAACCCCAGAGTCACGCTGAGCTATCACTCTGCTTCATGGAGCTAACGTCAATGTGTGGCTATGAAGGATCACCTCACCACCCTCATCTCTTGCTGTTAGCAAACTGTGCACAAGCATTCTAAGAAGAGACCCTATTAAACCCTCATGTATCAGTTTCCAATCTATTTTTTAAACTCAAGGTTTGTTTTGGGGTGGAATTGTATTCCTCATGCAAGCATTGGTTCTTTTGCCTTTTATTGTCTTTTTCTTCTGAAAGAGGGTTTTTCTATGTAGACCTGGCCATCATGTAACTAGCTATGTAGCCCAGGCTGGTCTCGAACTCACAGAGATCTGCTTGCCTCTGCCTCTGCATCCAGAGTGCTGGGATTAAAGGCGTGTGTCACCACCGCCTGGCGAGCATTGGTTCTTTAAATGCATATCTTATGCCCATGACAGAAATGACCAGAGCTAAACATTTAAAAACACAGAAGGCTCAAGGGCTGCTGCTGCCTTGGCGTCTGAAATGGCTGCGTTCTCAGCTCTGAAACATTACAGAGCTTTGTACTAATGCCTACCCCATGTCACGACTCAGGAGTCCTAGAAGCAATTTCTTCTCTTCTTGTGCCTTTCCCCTGAGTTCTGAAATGCACCTTTATCCCATGTCTGATGACTGCCCTGCCTTGCACCCTGTCACACATGTTATAGGAATCAGGAAGTCATTTTATCTATCGTTTGTAACCTCAAAGATATTCCAGGAAATCTGAGCAACAGCTTGTATTAATTAATGTAAATGGTTCCCGCTAACTGCGTCTGAACTCATGGGAAATTTGAAAGAAGGAACCCTCATCTGTTATTGGCACCAGCAATAGCCAACACAAATTAGATTTGATTTCTAGTTTATGAAATAATCAATAGATACCAGCCCACCACTTAATGAGCCCCGAATGCATTTACTGTATCTGGGATAAGTCACTGTGTTTATTACTTGCTTGGGAGCGACTGGTTACTAATTTGAAGATTATGCTATAATTGTAATGTATGTCCAGTGTCCCATAGATATGAACTTTATTTGCCACAGGGGCAGTAGTTGGAACAGGTGAGCAGGTTGTATTTTAGAATTTTATGCTACACAATATTTGTAGAAAAGAATTATTTATGGTTGGATAGGAATAGCTTCTCTGCCTTGGGGTAAACTTTTGAGTTCATATTTCAGTTTCAAATAGCTCAGTATGTTAGCCAATAAAACGCCACTTTTATATCATGCTTCCTGGTGATTCTTTTAACTAGGCAGATCTAATACTATTTTATCCAGGCAGACAGGACACTTTCTTCTTCTCTCCGTCAAACTGTGGAGCTTTCTTACTAAGGAAGATGCGACAGAGCATGCACCCAGATGATTTTCATAAGTATTTATCAACTTAGTGAGTTGAAATTGAGCAAAACCTTAATGGCTTTTCTAAAATGTCCTTCCTATAATTGAACCCTGAAAAAAATCCACAAGACCTAACCATGATTTCCCATTAAGCCCCAGGGGTATAAAACCTTTTGTCTATTGATCTACCCATACAACCGTCTGTCCATTCCTGAGTAACTTATGTCTCTATCACTTTATTTTGAATAGTGATGCTTAATGTTCTTATGTTTTAATTTTTAGTTATTTTGTGTTCCTGTCAGAGGACATTCTTGCGGGGGTCAGAAGACACCTGTAGGATTTGGTTCTTTCTTTCCTCTATGTGGATCCTTAGGATCAAACCAGGCAAAAGGCTTGATAGCAAGTTCCTTTACACACTGAGGTACCTCCAAGACCCTTTAAAATATTACATTATTTTTTTTATTTTTTATGCATGGTAAATTTTGATTGTCAACTTGACAGGACTTAGAACTGACAAGGAGACAAACTTCTGGGTATGTCCACGAGGATTTTGGCCCTAGTCTGTAATCCCAGTACTTGGGCAGCAAAACAAGGCTGTGCTTGAGTTCAATGTCATCCTGCTCTCCATAGCAAGTACAGATCTTGTATATCAAAAACCTACGATCTCAACTTTTCATTTTTATGTCAAAGCCAGCTTACTCGGAGTACCTCTGCAGTAGGATGTGGGTTTGGAAATATCTGGAAGCTCATTGGTTGAAGCTCATTGGTTGAAAATTATTTGAGGTGGAGTTGTTGCTGAGATTTCGAGCCTCATGGGCCAGGGCTGCTAGAATCATCTAACACAAGGGCCCGTTGGAGAAGACAATGTGACCCTAAAACCAATATAGCCAACACACAAATATGGCCTATTATGCTTTCTCCAAAATATATTAAATACTGCTACAAAATAATAACATATGGCACTAAACTAAAATTAGTATTACCCAGAAAAGCTTACCACCAAAACCTTTTATTAGTCCAGAATGTCTTAATGCTTCCCAAAATATATTTTCGAGGACTCTTAAAAACAAATAGTCATCAAGGTGGTGATGGTGCACGCCTTGAATCCCAGCTTTTGTGAGGCAGAGGCAGGTGGATCTCTGTGAGTTCAAGGCTATCATGGTCTACAAAGTGAGTTTCAGGACAGCCAAGCCTACACAGAGAAACCCTATACTGAAAAAAGAAACAAACAAAAAGCCACATAAAAACAAATAGTCTGAGGGGACATAGCACCCTGGTAGAGTGTTTACCTAGAATGCATGAGTTTGTAAGTTCAGTTCCCAGAACAAGGAAGGAAGGAAGGAAGGAAGGAGGGAGGGAGGGAGGGAGGGAGGGATCTATGATAGTAGGAAGACTATCTGACAGCTAATAGGTCTTTTCTCCATGGGAAGGCTTTGCTGCCCAGTGTGCAATGTGCTAAAAAGTGCAGACACAGAATCTGTTCTCCTTCGATAAAGATTTAAGGCATTTACATGGACTCTTTTAAGAAATCCATAGCTTGCTAGGCAGTGATGCTGCAGTCTTTAATACCAGCACTGAGAAGGCAGAGGCAGGAGGATCTCTGTGAGCTCAAGGCCAACCTGGTCTACAGAGTGAGTTCCAGGACAGCCAGGATTGTTGCACAGAGAAGCCCTGTCTCAGAAACAAAACAAACAACCTCATACACAGACTTAAATTTAATATTGTTTAGGTGTCTGTTTCATCAGACACTGACCACCCCAGAAACAGAGTATGAGATTGTATTTAATTTCCAATATATAGTACAATCCTTACTAACCCACTCTAAATACAATTATTTAAAAATTCCTGTCTCACAAAGTCTAATTTTGATGTCAGTATTTGATTGAGTGCATATTTTATGCCTAACTGCAAGGTGTGTGGGGGGGTAGGGGGTAGAGGGATGGAAGCAGCTTTTAAATCTACTCCTTAATTTGTATGTATCTGTGTGGGTAACTTACAAAGTCTTGACAGGGATTTGAAGCATGACTTTGGGGTTCACCGCAGTTCTCCTCTCCATCCCTGTATGAAATCTCACGGAGTTCTGCTACACTCTGCAGAGTGAAGGGCATGGCCTGTCGAAACCCAGAGTTATAAAAAGGGTAAGTTCCGAATGAATGTCTTCCCACTGTGAGAACTTCATCATTACAATGCTAAATTTCCCCGAGAGACAGAAGATGAACTGTAAAAATACCATGGATGCTCTACAGTCAGGTTACTGGCAGCTGTCTATTTCCTTCCTCTCCCAACATCATTTCTGACAGATTCTGGCTCTCTCTGAGTAGGAGGAGCCCATCCTAAATTCCCTCAGTCATTCAGTTCTCCAGACTCCTTATTTTAAAAAAGCACTTCCCTTTGACTTAATCAGCAGCCCTTCTTGGTAAATTTAACCTTATCTTTCAGGGGAAAAAAAGCTGCTCACATTTTTTGTGGATTCCATCAGTGAAAATACCAGTGAATGCTTCCCAGAGGCACTCATTCCTTGAGTAATGCCTGAAGGACTGCCATGTCCTGCTGCTGTACCCCACCACAACTGTGTTTGGGGGATTCTTTCACACAGATTTGCTAACCTGATTGTGAAACGGATTCTGAGTCAGGCTGTAAGGATGGACGGGGCTCATCCCTCCAGAATATGAAATCTTGTCTCCAAAGCAGTGCATGTTAATGTTCCACAGGTAGGATATTTTATCTAACTGTGCAAGCACTTAGCTCCAAAAATTAGATATCCAAGAGAAAAAACTTCTGGGGGAAGGAAGAGTGTGCTTATTAACGGATTTACATGTAACTGCTAACTTCCTATCCTTCAAGTCATAGCTGCTGTCAAGTTGTTTTCAAGGACGCTATGTCCTTGTTCCATTACAAGAAATCCTTGGCCAGCCTTTCCAGTGAGTGCAATTGTGCAGCATTCCACCGAGGGCTTTTAAAAGCAGAGATGCTCCAGTAGGTCGGGACAACCTCCCAAGAGGCTAGAAATCTGTGGGGTGTTCTGTGTCCTATTATAATTGCACGGCACCATTTACTTGTCATGGTTTGTGTTGTTCTATATTTCAATTTACTTTCCTTTGTGTGGGATTTTATCCTTATTTTAGGAACTACAAAGAATTATTTTGGTAAAATCAGACAAACACAATGTCTGCCTCACATACACTCTAGTGCTCACAAACTCATTTTTATTATAAAGAAGACAGGATGGGGTCCTTGTTATACGCATCTGAGTAAAAGTCCAACAATACAGTGGTTTAGATTGGGGCAGGCTATGCAAGAAGCCAGCACAGACCAAGTCTTTACATGGCTTGCCTTATCAGAACTTCGAAGCCTCCCAAAGTTGATAGAGTTTATTTCACCACACAATGAAGAGTCACATTTGCTCACAACATCCTGGGGACCGGTGCACTTCTGCAGGAGTATCTGTCTCTCACTCACCTCTATGTGCTGAAGGCAGGACGAAATGTTCTTCACACACAGCCTCAGAGTCTTCTCTAGTGATCTGAAAAGCTTTTCTTCCCTGTTAAAGGTATTGTCTTTCACCTAAAACACACAAGAAACTACTGTTTCATGACTCAAATTCATCTACTATCTTTAAATGGTACAAAGTTAATAAAAGAAAAAAAAACTAAAGATGGTACAGACCACATTGACCCAGCACATGACAAAAAATCCTTTGCTTTGTGATATGCTGACTTTCATAACAACTTTCTGGATTTGCACTAGCATAAGCTTATATCCAGCTAATGTGTGTGTGTGTGTGAGAGTGTGTGTGTGTGTAAATGCACACATGTCAGGGGCAGGTCACCTCTGCCTTTCTACTTTTAGACAGACTCTCTCACTGAACCAGGAACTGGCAAGTAGCAAGTTCCAATGGTCTTACTGTCTCCTCCTCTCACAGTGCTGTGATTATAGGAACAGGTAGCCATACATGGCTTTTTACATGGGTCCAAGGGATTCAAACTTATGACTGCATGTCTGCACAACAAGTACTCTTACTCACAGAACCATGTTCCTAGCCCCCTATAGTTTTTTTTAGATTTCTTTCTTTATTATATGTATGAGGACACTATGTACACATAGGGTACAGGTGCCCAGAGAGAATAGAAGTGTCAGATTCTCTCCGTAGCTGGAATCCCTGAAGCTATAGTTACAGGAGGTTGTGAGCCATCCAATGTGGGTGATGGGAACAGAATCTGAGATCCCTTCAAGAGCAGCAGTCATCTTAACTATGGAGCCATCTCTCCAGAATCCAAACCCCTATAGTTTATAGTAGCATATATTGCGTTCTCAAACTATACTGTCTATTGCTTTGCTAATAGAATTCATTCTAGTTTATCTCACAGGGCTGATTTTGAAAATATTCTTAGGCCTATCATTAAAGAAAGGTGGTAATATCACCTCAAACATGAAAGATGATATATAATCTTAGTTCTGCTCTGTAGCACATTTACAGAGCTAAGATGGTTGTCACACGTGTTCGGTCGTGTTTGTCTTCTTACATGCAATATTTATTGGAATTACATGAATGTTATATTAATGCATTGTGTTTTACCACTTTTAGTGATTTTTAGAGATACACATTCCTATTGATGGTGAACTCTGTTTATTGCAACAAAAATGTCTATCAGAACCAGTCTTATGGTGGTAAAGCTGTTATGAACAGGCACATGAATGTTACATGGAATAGAGTGTATGTTTCATTTTTGTACTTGGTAATAATTATACTCTTCTTGGTTTATGTGTTTCTTAACATCATGTAGTTAATCTCAGAACTGTGTGTGTATTTATACTTACATAACTGTAACTATATCTATCTATCTATCTATCTATATATACACAATCTTTTATTTATTTTTGAATCTGTTAGTTTTTACTTGTGTGGAAAAACCTTAATTAAATAGGCAGTAGAATTCATAACCCAGCATCCTTGGCATAATATCTTTGCTCCAACTCTATGTGTACATACACCAATATGCTTGGGCAGATTTTTGTAATTGGAGTTTCCAAAGATCCCACCTCCTGGTATTTTATTCTGTGTACCTAGGACTCAGATGATTTTGAAGTAAACACTCAGGATTACACTGTGAGAAATGTTGCCCAAGCCATAATCAAACCTTTCCCATGATTTTTTGATGGAATAAGCTGTTGCTCCTTTTCTGCCTTAGAATTCTGTTTATTTTTAGGAATTACACTCAAGGGTTGCCCGTTCTGTGAATCTGAGTTTCCACTGCAGAAAATTAATTTCTTCCTCCTATATGCTCTTATACCCTTAATTATTTAAGCAATTTTCTCCACTGATGCAGTCTAAGCATTTAAGATTAATATGTTTGTCTTAATAATAACAATAGCTAACTTTTATTATTATATTATATTAATTATATTCAGCATTAATTATATTCAGACACCATGCCCAAACCTTTTATTCACTTTATCGTTTTAATTCTTTCACAACTCTATGGGGCAAGCATTATGATTAATCTCATTTCAGAGACAGAGAAATGAATGCTTTGGGGATGCTATTATTCCCTTGTTGTTCCCACAGCAGAACTGGCAGCACTACATTAAGTTGGAGGTATGACTGCCCTGCAAGGGACTCCATTTCCCAGACTCCTTTGCAGCTAGCTTTGCCCATGTAACTGGATTTGCACAAAGAGAGCTTGAAGGAAGGAAGTGTTGTGTTTCTTTTCTGAGTCTTGGTCTTGTGACATTGCCTGTAGGACTTGAAGGAGACACAAGAATGACCTAGTTCCAACTAACAGCTGAAGACAATATGTTTATGGAAAGCACTGTAGAAAATTCGGCAAGCTAGGATCCTGGAAGATTCTATGAAGCAGATTCCATCTGCTTACATCTCAGGATTATTACAAGAGGTGGAATAAGATAGTTACTTGACTGGTATCCTATGCTCTATTTGCTATGCGGTGCTTTATTTCTCATATTAAGCTATGCAGTCCTGTGTTATGCTGTACTATGCTTAAGAATCTCTTTATGACAGATACATAGTCTTTGCCCTAAAGTAGCAATTTAGAGAAACATATTTATAGATGTGATTGGGATTAAAACCAGGCAGCCTGAATTCTGGATCCATACCTGTTCATTTTTGTATTCCCAATCTCTCACACAGCGCCTGGTATACAAAAGTTCAATACACATATGATGGATTGAATAGAATCTTCCTCCTGGGTAATAGCTCTACACCCTAACTCTACCAATATTTCACCTGAGCTGCTGACAAGTACAAAATTGATTGATTTGAGATTTATCTCCTCTCCAGTCCAGCCTATGCAGCTGATTTTCTGATTAACAGTGAAATGCTTCATGGCTGACAGGACATCCTCTATGAAGATTAAGAGGAAAAATCTAATTAATATCCCTTCAGGCTATTTTAGCTACAATTCACTTTTAGTTCACAGTTAAAAAAATAAAAAACTGATGATAAATATGCGAAAGAATGTAATGGTCCCCACAAAAGTCTGCCCCAGATTAGAAACTGCCTGCTCTACTCAACAGAACTATCTTGAGTAAGAAGCAAAATCACAAAGCATGGAAGAGAATTTCTGCACACATTTATAAATGCCCACAGGGGGCTACTGTCTTCTTCAGCTCATTTTTGATTTGATTTTATTACTGTTGTCTTTAGTTTAAGTGTCTCAATTATCCATTTCCTGATCAGCCACCATGCACTATTAATGTCCCCAACTTCCCGCATTGTAGCTGCACATCAAGCCTCTTTTTGTGATGAACCTGGCAAATCCCTAACAAATTATGAAGAAATAGGTGCAATGGTGGATCCGACTATTTACCCCACACATGGTAAAGTCGCTGCAGGTACAGGGAAAATGAGAAGAGAAGGTGACAAGACAGCACTGTCCTCCCTAATTTCAGTAAGAAGCCTATTGCATCGCCAGGCCATGAACTTTCTTCCATTCTTTTTTTTTTATTATTAATGATGAGTGAACCTTGGCAGTTTATATGGAGCAATTTATACAATATTTTAACATTCTTTTTCAAGTTTATATTCATAATAGAAGTTATATTTTTAAAGAATTTTATTTTTAACAGACACAGAAAATATTGTTGGATCATAGGCAATGGTTCCCACACATATTGTGTACTGTTTTTATTTATAATGTTTTAAACAGGTTAAGTGCATGTATCATCCAAGTTTTTTATTTTTTTTATTTATTTATCTTCCATTCTTAATATATGCTCTACTGATCACCTACTTCAGGTTCATTAACCTCAAAACTCCTGTATAAACACGGAGTTCTAGGCTGTACCCTTGAGATAGGTGGAACTCTAGGACCTGCCTTTTGAAATTATCTCATGGGATTCTCCTTACACAGATTAAGATTTAGAAGTCTTCGGCAATCCGGTTATTCATAAGAGGTCGGGATTGAAGGGCAAGCTATGTTAAACAGATCAGTAAGCGTCATGAAGACCAGTCAGCCTGTGATATAATGTGCATCCGGGGAGTCTCTGGGACGAGAAGGGGCTAAGAACACCAAAACCATCATACTGGGTTATTCATCTAAGTACTACTTTGTTTTCAGATAAAATAAAGAGAATCCCAGAGGAATAGCAAACATTAAAGCAGGAATAAAACAAAGAGAGATTGTGGGCAGCTAAGTTCCAGGTCTCCTGCCCCTTGTCATCAGATGTCCTGCATTCTCATCTCCTCTATCTGCCTTCCCAGTGGAAGCTGAGGCAGTGTTAAAACCTCCAGACTGCCTCCTCCAACCACACCCGCCCCAGGCAGCTTGATGCTCTACCTTGGTTCTGTGTTCTAGATATATTCACAGAGAGAGCAAAGCCAAGGCCCCTAAGAATGGCAGTGTTAATGATTCCTGAGGAAACGTAGGTGGTCCAAGAAGAAAAATTACCTGTGACTCTCCTCTGGTCAGGATCTTGAGATGATTTGTGACTCTTTTGGACTTCTTGCTAATTGAATGAATGTTTAGCTTAGACAGTTTGTCTTTGAGTGATTCGTCCTCATCATTCTTCTTATACTTGAGAACTGAAAAGGAAGAAGGCAGTGATACATCCAATTGTGTGCGGCCAGAGTGCACACTCCACTAGACTTTTCAAGGCTGATATTTTCAAGGACAGGATTTATGGAGATTTTAACCTCCTTCTGCAGGGGCCATTACCCCATTACCCCATAACCCTATTACCCCATTGCGTAGTATGTCCAAAATAACCTATCCACTGACCTTTAGAAACTCGTCTATTCAAGGACATGGCTACTCAAGGCTACTCAAGGTCAAGTTAATTTACTTCTCACATTAAAGAAATCCTTGGATGGGGAAGAGGTTGGGTTTTACCCTCAGTACCAGAGGGAAGAAAAGAAAATTCTTTGTACTAGAAAAGAAGAAAACATCCCCTCTCTGATGGTACATATTATGGAGGAGTGTCCTCTGGAATAGGGAATCAGAACCAAAGAAACAAAAAGACAACTGAACCCATCACACATCAGCCACAAACCAAGGTTGACTTTTCACAAAGTCTGTGATTTGGGGCCAGGTGACAATCACTCTGAGTTTTATATCTCTTTGAAATAACTGTTACCCCTCATCTTGTTTGATAGATTCAGTGTTGGTAAGGGCACAGAAAGATGTTCAGTCATAGGCACTGTTGATGAGGGTTAAGTCAGTAGTGCAGGTTGCGATAGATAAGATGTAATATGTACTGTTTCGAGTTTTGTATGAATGGTACTATATTGAACAAATAACACTTAAGACCTAGTCAAGTGTAATGGCACACTCCTGTAATCCAGGCACTTGGAAAGCAGGAGCAGGGGGAGCCCTTCAATGAGTTCCAAGGTGGCCTGGGCTACATTAAACCATTTCAGAAAATAAAGCAAACCACCTTTCAAATAACTTTTGGGATTAAACCAGCTGATACAAGTATTTTATGCCATTGCTTTTCAATCTTCTCATCATGTCACAGTGCCTAACACAGTTTATTATCCTTTACTGGATTACTATATACATCTTTAAAACAATTTTGACTACTTTTCCACCTTTTGTCTAAGATCAAGTATAGTAATGTTTTGACTAGTACTGGCTAGTGACATACACTCTCTATCTAGCTCAAGATATTGAGCATATTGTATCATTGTGGTTTTAATTTCAATTCCCCCAGTTATTAGCAAAGCTTCCCATGAATTGTTCGTTTTTATTGACTTTTTATTAGAATATTCTTATTACTGAAATAATAATAACAATAATACTTTCTAGGCAGTCATCCTCTGTGTGTAGTCTTTCCATTTTGCTTATGGTATCTTTGACTCTTTTACTTTGTTACTGTATTCTTTATGGTTTTAATTTACTAAAACAAATATTTTGCTTTTTGCTTATTTGAAAACAAAACCAATCAAAGAAAATGAAGTTGCCGCACCATTTATTTTTAAACGCCTGTCATTATTTAAGTGTTGAGTTCAGGTTACATATTGGAAACACAAACTTGGATGCGAGCTCTTTGTGAGTACTAATCCCATGAGAGGATGAAGGCCTATTACCCTTGGGATACACTGGCTCCACAGAATTTGCACTCCTATATTGAAACCTACTCTTACTATTAGGCATTAATTGTAATATGTTAGCTTAAAGTAGATAAGAACCATCTGTTAATTGTAGAAACAAACCTGCCCCCCCCCAGCAATCCCAACCTTCATTCCTGTGTGTCAGAATCAACTGAGTCAAAAGGACTATATGGAGACTCACACAAACCTGGACCTGGTCAGTCCCATTTGTGTGCTAGGCTCCCAGAACTGCAGGTTCTGAGTTATGTCTTCTCCTTTCTCTACAGACATTCAGTGGCAGGAGGATTGTATGCTCACAATACACTACCAAGAACACAGTCGTCAAGTGAGAGTGAATGCTTCCACACCTGCTGGATTTTTTTGTGTGTGATTGCCAGTTTTGTATCTATCTATGGTCTTATTTTGAACCTTGCTATTAAGGCAAACTTGCATTCTGCTCCTGTCCTCTGACTCTAAATTTCCAGTCATCATGTTTACTGTGACTGGTGTGTCACCATTCAGACACCGTGATTGTCACACACCAAAGGAACACTCCAGTCCTGGGGAACAGTCACCCTGGCATATTTCCACCTACCCAGGTCTTTCCTTCTCTTCAGCTCGTTGATGTTAACATTAATGTCCTTCACAGCAGTGAAGGCTTCCTCCAGGGCTCTGTAGTCTGGATGCGAGGGAGGGGTGGAGTTCCGCAGTTCACACAGCAGCAGCGGGTATTTCATCACACGCTGAATAGGTTTGATCATCAAGGAGCCCATGTCCAGCAGGTTTGGTTTGCCTCTACAACAGATATCATCAATACCCATTTTACCAATTGGTTATCAACTTTGATTTTCATTTTGTGATTTTACAAAAAGAATTGCTCCTAAATCAGTTTTTCACCTTTGAACTATATAAAATTTCCAAATGGAAACAAGAACTTTAAAAGAATGACAAGAAGCAAGACCAAAAGACTCCACTAATGAAACAAAAACCTAAAAGAAAACAAAGGAAGTATACATGCCTACCAAACATGGCCCGTGTTTAGATTTACTTATAGGTCAGTGTATACACCAAGCATTAATACCAACTTCAGAATGCTTTTTCCCCTGACAACCAAGAAAATGAAATTTCCCCATTGTGTTTTTGCTATTACTTGTGAGTAATATAAACTCATTGTAGAAAAATTCAAATATATGACCTGAAAATATTGTCCAAACTGAACACTGTCCTCTGTTTTCTAACAAGCAGAAGAGTTGTTCATTCAGGAGGTCCTTCCACAGACTCCAGAAGAAATTCACACTAAAGGAAATAACCCTCAAGTTATCACAACCACACTTCCCTAATTGCCACTCACATGATGGCTTCCTCATCTCTTTCCCACCGTGAAACGTCACCTACAGCTCTTCACACCACTGCCAAGCAGCCAGCACCCCATGTGGCGCTTCTGCATGTGCTTCTGAGACAGGGTGGGAGCCTTCCCACTGGCCTGGGTTGTGTGAGAGAAAGAAGCCCCTAGACTCAGTCAAGCTACTGTCCAAACCACTGCCTCTGACCTTTCAGCCAGCAGAGGCTTCTAAAAATCAATTTAGGGAACAGAAGATTACAGATGGAAAGTAATGACACCTTTTAATTCCCAACGGGTAGATTTTTTCATACTTGTACTTAAAAAATGTACTAATAGGGATAGGCAATAGGTGATTTGAAAAATAAAGTGAATTTAAAATGTCTAAAACATGGTCTCAATTTTGCAAACTATCTAGTTCAACTCTTCATTTGACAAATGAGAAACTAAGTGACTCTAATTGTCATGTACACACACACACACACACACACACACACACACACACCAATCTCTATTCCATCTCCCTATTATGTGTCTATCATCTTTCCTAGCACCGTCTGTAATCATTTCATTTCCCAATTTTCCAATTTATGACCAATTTCTCTGTCAGCACACCATCTCCCACCATGATTACATTTTATCAATGCACATATTTAGACCAAGAAATCACTGAGTTTTCAGGTTTCCTGTCATGCATTTTTATTTTCTTTTGAAAACTCCCCACCCCCAATATTTCAAAATGGATAAGTAAACGACTAAGGGAGGAGTTTTCTCATTCCCTGAAGAGAATTATACTAGCCTAACAGATATAAAGGCTAAGGGAGGAGTTTGCTCATATCCTGAAAAGAATTATACTAGCCTAACAGATATAAAGGCTAAGGGAGGAGTTTGCTCATACCCTGAAAAGAATTATACTAGCCTACCAGATATAAAGGCTACAGCAAACGAAAACATTTTTAAAGGAATCCAGGAAAAATAATAAAGGTGTGCAATAAAGAAGCAGAAATATAAAGGCAAAGAGAGGGGTGACAGAGGGAAGGATCAAGAGACAGAAGGAGCGATCAGGGATGGGAGGAAAGAAACATCCTCAGTTTCCAGGAGAACTGAGTGAAATAGATGAAATGTGATCGATCATATTGAAAACCCAACTAAAAGCATTTTGATTGATGGGGTGTCAGTAGCTAGCAGCAATTTTTATGTATCAAAGCAGAGATTATCCCTTAGCAATAGTTTATACTACTACGTAGATAATCCAATGGGACAAGAAAGAAGTCAGGAATGGTATCTAAGTGACTACACTCAGATTTTCTCGTGAGTTTCTCTGATTACCACCAAACATTAATTTATTTAATCATTCAAAACTACTGAAAATATCATCCAAGATAAGCAGTTGAATACTTTGAAAAAAGCTAGAAGATGATTTATTCAGAGTCATGTGTATATACACACATTGTAAAAACTAGAACAGCAATAAAAAACAGCAGAGAGCAGAAAGCACAGACATAGGCAAGTGAAGTTGTTTCTGTGAGCTGCCCTCCTTCCCCCTATATCTAGATATGCCACACACCAATCTGAGACTGTAATTGAGTTCAAGGGTTATCACTACTTCATTTTTCTATCAGTCTTTAGCACCAAATTTCTAGTACCTTTATTTTATGATTTCAGTGATAATTAGAAATGATTATTGTTTTTTTTAAAAAGCATCATAAATGCAAATCTGAGAAATAACTGACAAAATGAGAGACTTCCAAGGCACTTCTGTCTTCAGACATATTTTTTTTCAGTTGCCCAAGTGACAATCAATAATGTTCTGGTATCTGCATCAGACAGACTACACCATGGAAGAAAGATAGAGGATGTGTTGTGAGATAACAGCTCTTCAGGCGCTTGATGTCACAAAGTTCACCGCCATGCCTAATCCCTCCTAGTGAGATGAGGTTTGATAACGGTGAAGGCAGATGAGTCCTGGGTATGATATCCCCGTGGCAGCCAGTTGTCACCTGCTGCTCCAACCAAATGTGTAACAGTGCTCCACAATATTGTGCCAAAACTGCATGCAGCCATTAACCTATAACACTGTTTTGGCTTCCTCTTATGTCACCATTTCTTGGCAAGTGTTTAGTGCTAGCCACAGCTACACAAATCTCATCACACATTATTACTGGGACTCTACCAGGTTAAGCAAATAGTTAGCTTTGTTTTAGCACTATCTAGTTTTGCTGCAAAGCTTTTCCAATAAAATGTAGAAAAATATTTAGATAATGTAAAAAACTATTTTGGAAAATAGAAAAAACATTCCATATGAAATATGCCTGTATATTGTTTATGATCTAATAAATCTTGCGGGGTGATAAGAATGTAAAACTAGCCACATCCATAGAGGCCAGGCAGGGGTGGCATACACCTTAAATCCCTGAACCCACACTAGTTAGCCATAGAGCCAGGTAGTGGTGGCATGTGACTTTCATCTCAGCACTGGAGAGGTATATAAGACTGGAGCAGGGTCTCAAGAGTTGGCATTAGTCTCTAGCCACATTGGGGGCAGGATTGCCCCAGCCTTGGTAGAGGTAAGAACTCTCTGGTGGCTTGGCTCCTTTGCTTTTCTGATCTTCAGCTTGAACCCCAGTATCTGTCTCTGCGGTTTTTTTATTATTTGTACAATATATATGTTTTAAGTTCAGTTAGAATAGAAGGAAAACTACAATTTGATGACTGACTATAATTTTTTGAATTTCATGACCACAAATACCCTACATTTTATATTTATTTTATAGTAACTGTAAAGAAAGCTCTTAAAAATTTAATCTCCTTATGGAACTTTTAAGTTGCTAATAAAGAAAACTGTAGAGGGCTACATAGCAAATAGCAATTGCCGTAAAATATGGAACTCAAAATAAATACAAAATCACTGAGTTTTAGAAGACTAGAGGAGGACAATGAATTATAACCCATGTAGTAGATGAGTGTAGAGAAGCAGTAACTATGGAAAAGCAATACTTAATCATTCCAGAAAATTTACCACTAGCAGTGTCTTAGGATCTAATGGAGTGGGGAGCAGAGGAATCTGGGGATCAATATGAGAAGGATCAATTGAAAACACCATTTCAGGAACTGTCTAATTTGGGTGCTAAAAAAAAAGTGAAGTGAGGTCATCTGAAGAATTAAGAGCGCTTGGAAATTAAAAGAATAAAAGTAGAAATAACAACTAAGTGCGCTAAGGATTTCAGAGTTAGTATCTATTGGTAGAATTCCCAGAATAAAACATCAGAACACACCAGGAGGAGGAAAACATCATGAGGAGATTTAAGAAAACGGCAGCCACCCACAGCACCCACTGCCCAGAACGTTAAAATTACAAAAAAAGAAAAAGCAAACCATGTAAGTGGTACAGACACAGCAGGGCAGCTGTGCATACAAGCTCACCCCAACAGTGACAGCCTGCACAAGTACCATGCAAACTCAAGCTAGACTAAATCTCAGAATAGAGATGAGCAGTAGACAGGAAGTCCCACCCCCTAGCCAAGGAGATAATTGCCAAGTGATAGGTGTTGGAGAGGAAGAGTTGGTAGTCTTTAAAAAAATGTTGCCTCTGTTAAGTCAACCATGTGCCAGTGGAAAGTCACACACCCTTGAGGATACAGGAAGCACAAACTGCACTTGGTGGGTGGCAACGAAGACAGGAAGTTGGGTGGAAAAGGGAAGTGGAGCTAGGAGGATCTGGGGGTGAGGGTGATTATGATCAACATGAATTGTATGAAATCATCATGGAACGAATAAAACTAAATATTGAAAATAAAAAAGGTCTTTAAAAAGAAGTACTTACTCTTGCATGTATATATTCCTGCAAAAGAAGGAGAGAAATTAAATCAATAAAAATTCACAGATATGGGATAATATGCAACATTACAAAAACTTTCAAATTTTACTATATCAAAGGAAGTAGTGGGTGAGTTTCATGAATGCCCCATGTAATCAAGCATCATTAATTTGTACTGTGTCCTAAAATGACACTTTAATATGTATCTACCATTATTTCTCAATACCATATGTTAAATTCAAACTAGTGATTTAATTAATAAATTTTAATAATTTAAACATGCATTTGAATTTGTTCATGGTCACATTTTGAAAAAATCCATCAAATGCAATCATGAAGGAAAACATGTTTATGACATTACAAATGCTTAAACTGATTTGTAGAAGAATGTTATCAAGTACTCTATAATCTCTCTAAGTAGTTTTAGGAAGATACTTTTGTAGAAAGGTTTTAACCATGTATCCTCAGTTGACCTTGAGCCTCCTATGTAGACATGGTTGATCTCAAACTGACAATCTTACTGCATCAGCCTCCCTAGAGCTAGGATTACAAGTGTTCACCACTAAGGTTGGCTTACGCATCATATTAGCAATTCAACAAGAATTCTCAAAGATAACCTTCATGCAGGCCTTGCCAGCTTTGGTGGCTGCCATTTCCTTCTGTAAAATAAATCCTTTCATGGAAAAGCACATGGTCTGTGTCTCCTTTTACTGTCTCTCTACCCTGGTGCTTATTTCTCCCAAGGTGCTTCGGCAATCACAGACTTCTTGTTCCTAGTAAAGTCAGGCAGGCATGCAGCAGCCTCCAGGATTCTGAGCCAGTCATTTCTTCTGTGCAGATTACTCTCCAGCTAGACCTCTATATACCTCACTTCTTCATCCCTTTCAGACATTTGCTCAGGAGGTCTTTCTTTTGAGAAGCCTTCCCTGACCATCGTTTGCAAAGGTCACCATGCTTCATGCCAGCCTGACTGTCCCTATCACCTGCTTTTCCTTCTCTTCCTAAGAGATGTTAATGTTTCACATGATATACCACACGTCTTTAGTGTAATGTTGGTCTCTCCAACGCAGACAAGGATTTATAACTGACTTTTTAAAAAATCTCTATGGCACCAGTCTAAAAAGTGACCAGTATATGTTAGGGGCTCAAAGTATGTGTCAAACGAATTAGTCATGAAAAACAATGGCAATTAGTCAGGACAAATTTAAGAAACAAAAGAGATGACAGTCTCCTCCTAAATGTGGCATGTCTCTATTACAAAATAGCACAATAACTTCTGTTTATCATATGACCCATAGCCTCCTTTGTGTTTTTTGATCTTTCTTAATGCAATGAATATTTATAACATAAATATTTATAGTATAAAGAAAGAGCATGGCCACGTTTTTAGTTAGTTTGTTTGAGACAGTGTATTCCTGGCTGTCCTGGAACTTGCTACGTAGACAGGTTGCCCTTTAACTCGCAAAGATCCTCCTTCCCCTGGCTCCTGAGTGCTGAAATTAAAGGCATGTGCTACTGTGCCTGGCTGCTTTATATTCAGTGATTGAGATAAAAATTTAATAACAAATACCTATGCTGAACTGAACTGAATAACTTAAAAAAGTTGCAGTTGTCCATATGTGTGGGAGACAGGTACATGTATGTAGAGCAACTGCCTCCTCAGTCCCCAGACCTGTATGTGCAAATGGATCCCTAGACATTTTTAAATAACTGAGATATGCTGAGTCCAAAACCTCCAAATGGGAATCAGAGACAAAATTACACTGTTATAACTTTAGGAAATCATTAAAAGATATTTTAAAATTCTGCAGTCAAAGGAATTATGTCTGTGAGTCCCCAGAACTTGTTTCTATTTCCTTTATGCGGTTATCCTTCTACTCACTTATAGCTTCTCTAGTGGAGAATCTCATTTGTTCTGGGATTTTTTTGGTAGATTATATATTATAAAATTAGTAAAACATAAAAATAAAACCACAGTTTTCAATTGAAGTAAGTGTTGGACATGGTACTTGGGGTGTAAACGCACTGCAAATGAAAGACACCATTTTGTTTTTAAAGTCCTGGAGAAGACATAGAGCTCTCTTTTCTCTTTCTCTTTTATTCACGTCAACAAAACAACTTAAAATTATAATAATACTAGGCATGTGTTTAATGTCACATACCACTCTCTATAAAGGAACCTGACATTTTTCTAATAGAGGAAGCCATACTCCGTAAGGGGGAAATGCTGCATTATAACGTCATCTGGTTTTCTCATCACTAAGGAAGAAACATTCTTTTGTGATAGATTTTGAAGCTTTCCAGAAGGTGACTCTAGCCGAGTACAATCAAGAAAGAAGTAAAGCGGTGTCCAGTCAGCTTTTTATGGGATAAAATAATTACCTTCCTCTCCTGCTGGGCTCATTATAATTTGACTCATGAATTAGAGGTTTTATGTGGCTATCCCTTAAAGATTATAATCTGTTTCCAAACAATGCCATACTGTAGGGAATTTCCAGAGGTGGTTTTGATTTTCAACTGGGGCCTTCCACTTAGAATTGAGGCACAAGGGGGTGAGTAACTAAGAATGCAGCCCCTTCGACAGGGCACGGCACGAACTTCTTGCTGCTTCCCCGAGCTGGAAGCCATAGGAGCAAGGCGACTGGACTGTCTAGATGACTGAAAAGTGAATGGTTTTTCTCCTGAGGATGGGACCTCTGTTAGCAAAAAGAGAAACACAGGGTAATTTCTAGCACTAAGACATGAGGAGGCTAGAAGTGTGAGTCCCACCACCAAAAAATACTTAGAAAAGTCCTTTGGTTCTTATTTTATTAAAAAGTAAACCGACCTGTTGGGGCCACTGACCTATAGCAGAGACTTTAGTAATATTTCTAAATGGAAAAACTGAAAAAGGAGGCAGCAGACAGTTCTAATTATACCTACACTTACTGAATAGCTTTCTAATTTTCACTTCTTCACAGAGATCAGAAATCTTAAGTCACTCCAAAGAGGCCAAACAATGAGCTCCTCAGTAAACAAAGATGTAGTAACACAACATTGCAGGCAATTCTATAGGGTCACTTGCCCCACCCAGCTAAACAGTCCTTGCTGAATACAAAGAGCTTGAAACGCCCAGTTTCTAGGCTGTAGGTACAGGTGCACACTGCATTTCTGGATAATTTTAATTTAAAAGTATTTATTTTATGTGTGAGTGGTTATGTATACCACGTAAATAGGAATGTCAGGTGCCCAAAGAGGTCACAAGAGGGTATCTGAGTCTCCGGAAACTGGAGATACAGATGGCTGTGAGCCACCATGAGGATGATAGGAATCACACCCAGGTCCTCTGTAAGAGCAGCCAGGATTCCTAATCAGGGAAACCTCTTCCCCACTCTCTTTAAAACTCACTAACTGCTAATACACACTCCCGCTGTACTGGCACTGGAGAACTCACACACCAGGAAATACTGCTCTAACACTTCAAAACTAATTTTCTGGATCCAAATATAATTTTCTCTTTTGCATGATAATGGGCTTCAAAGAATAACTAAGGTTCCTAAGCTTGAATATCACACAGAGTGAGGCAGTATCCCTGCTTTCCTGTTGGAGGTTAGTCTTGAACAAAACAGACAGAGATGCCTTCTGGTGTGTTAAATAAATGAACTTTGCATTGCTGGCAAAGTTTCCCAGACAGTTTTATCTCTGAGTAGAGTTTATGTTCCTGGGGGGCAAGAACCTTGCTTATATATTAAAATATTTTCTACATTATCTAGTACTCAATAAATATTTATGAGGCCCTCAATAAACATTTTAAATTTGGTTAAAATGTGACTTAAGTCACTTTAAAAATCCGCTTTACCTTCTGAGGCGTGAAGCTAAGCTACCTCTCATGTGGGGTTTTTGCCTGAAATCAACTCATTCCAGTATCCCTTGCACTGTTGAAAATGGAGGCCGCAGCTAATGTTCATTAGAAATGGCAGCCGTTCCTTTATTTAGCCAGTAGGAAAAGGCAGGGCGACAGTAATAGCTTTGACTGATTACTTGGCAAGGGAAACCAAGCCCTGAGGGTGTTCGGGACTCTCTTTGGCCTATAAACCTGGTTGAAAACCTGTTCATCAGAATTTAAAGCTTGGCTCAGCTGAGGTCAGTGTTATAGTGATGTCAATAACACCATCACACTCAGCCTCCAGGCAGACCCACACAATCCATCATTAACTTTATTTTCATAGAAAGGCAACTTTGGGGAAAATAGCTCCAGCTTAAACTGTTTTATTTTGATTTTCTTTCCCTTAAGAAATAGTTCTGCCAATATTGTTTCATTTGGATTTTGTGCATTCTACACCTTAACACCTTTTGGCGGGTGAGATTATTTCTAAAAGTCAGAATGGTCCTGAATACACAGAATTGGACACATTGTGGGACTGTATATTTGAAGCTTAAAAAGCAAAACAAGTTATTATGTCTGAAAGTAAGTTTGGGATTCCACAATTACCTCTGTCCTTTTACTGCTTCTATAGGAAATGCTGTTGAGCTGAGTTGCACAGAGAATACTACAGTGGGCTCTGTTCTCTTACAAATCAAAAGTTTATTGCACAGCACACTAATGTTTATTCTCTCCCGAGCAGCTTAGAGAAGCAGTCAGGACTATGAACCTGAACTGACTAGCTTCTTGTCCAGGTCCCTTGGGCCCTGGGGTTAGATATGCAGGTTAACGGAAGGAGCCAGTTCTTCAAATGTTATGTGACACCCCTCCCCCTATTATTTCTAGAACCTGAAGGAAAGTGATGCAAGATACACATGTGTTGTGAGAAGGTGTTTTGTACGCAGGGTGTCATTATCTGACATGAGGATAAAAAGACCTGTCTATGTAGAGGACTTGTTCTTCACATATGAACTTATTTAGGCAAATACAATTTTATGCTTTAATTTTTCTTCAAGCTTATATGGTAACATTGACTTACACGGAAATAGCCAGAGCTACTGAGTTGTGCCTTCAATAAATGTTCACTCCCCCTGCCCTATGGAAAAATGTTAAAATCCCGCGATTTTTGGCCAGTAGAGGGCAAAATAATGTTGAAATTTAATCAACGCATTTTTTTATTTGAAGCCATGGGAAGCAAATTAAACTAATTTTCAGTTCTAATTCGAGCCTGGAAAGTCTTCCTCCAGCGTGGCCTCATTTAGTTCCCCCCACTCAGCTCAGTGCTGCTACAAACTTCTCCAATCAAAGGAGGACTCTGTCCTTTCTGTCACACAATGGGACACACGAAGGTGTGCTAGAGTTTCAGACTGGCGCATCTTGCTAAACACTTCTGCTTCCTCAAGCCGGTTAACCCCGACCGGATGCATCCCATCTGACAGTCTGCAGTCCTCAAGAATGAAGGTCCTTAGGAGAACTCGACAGGATGAGGAAAAGGAGGAAGAGTTTAGCTCTAAATAGGACTCCAGTTTCACGGAGAAGGTCAGATCAAACACAGGCTCACAGTCCTCTATTTACGAAGATAAGATAAAATCTGAGCTTATTAATTGCTTGGAGAACAGCAAGAGTTTAAAGACTCTCATTCAAACTTGAGTAGCACCACTACGGCCTCCTCACAAGTTGGGGATGAGGAAGGCAGAGGGTCTAATTGCCCTGAAGCTAACTTTCGCAGGGCCTTAACCATCCTCACCATCTCTCCACAGTGAATTAGGACAACGGGAATTGCATTAATGTAATCAACTCACTGCCCACTGGCCCTTGAGAATGCATGAATAGCAGCCTAGCTTTCATATCTTATTTATTTTGTCATCGCCGTTTGACAATATTGCATCCCCCCCATCCCTACAAGGCCTCGAATCTTTTTCTCAATTATTTTCAGTCATCCTCTTGAAGGGCTTGTAGCACATTGGCTTTTGGTAAGGCAGCCCTCCGATCGAGCCCTGAGAAAAGCTGGCTGTGTGTGCCCTTTCGTCTCCGTCCACCGCAAACTCTAAGCAAGCAGAGTGGATGGGAATTGCCACTTGAAAAGGCCTTACTTTAAGGACTGGATGCATTGGCTCAGATGCTGCCTCAGATCTTCTTCTTTTTCATAGGACTCCAGTACACTGTGGGCTTCATCGTGATGGTAGCAGTAGACTTTATAAATATCCTCCAGTGGTCCTTTAATCTGCAAGAATACCTCTCCTGAGCAATGCAAAACAAAGACAAAGTGACCTCATCAGACCCAGTGACATTTCATGCACTTACTCAGAGCTGACGATTGCAAAAAGTGAGGTCTACCCAACCTGATCCCCCGGATTGCATGGAAGGGATGCCAGACATCGAGGGAATAGTTCCCCTTTCCTTCTCTTCCTCCCCTGTTCTTCTCCTTCTCTCCAGGTTTCCCTCCCTCTCCTTTCTTCCTTTTATAAAACAAGTGAAGATGGACATGCAAAGTCCATTTGTGTGCCAGGTATAAATACTGATCTACTACCCAAAGCCCCCTAGGTTGCCTAGGCCTCCTCATTGACACCCACTTTTAGAGGGTCTGGATCAGTCCCATTCTGGCCTCTCAGCCATCAGTCTGGGGTCCAAGAGCTCCCCCTTATTCACGTCAGCTGTTTCTCTGGGTTTCACCAGTCCAGACTTGACCCCTTTGCTCATCACTCCTCCCTTGTCAGCCTGGACACTTGGGAGAGGGCCTAGGCCCTTCCCTGAACGAAATGACAGACTCTGGAGATCCCCCAAGGAGAGCCTTACCCTCCCTGGGGAATAGAGTGGGGATTGGGTGGGGACTATGGGGGGAGGGGAAGAGTGGAGGAGGGGAGGGAGAGGGAGCTGGGATTGACATGAGAAGCAAGCTTGTTTGTAATTTAAATTAAAAAAATATAAAAAACCAAGTGAAGAGCGTAACAGGTTGGTACACAGGATCACAGTGAAGAGCTGACTTAGATTAGAGTGGTCTGTCGGTGTTTAAATAATAACATGCTAATGGCTGACTTTGAGACTTAAATAAATGGTTTTAATTCTCTGACTCTGTTTCCTCATGTATAAATTACTAGCTATAAGAGACTCAGTTTCATAGAGATATCATTGTAATTAGGAGAGATAGTGTGTACAAAACTCAAAGTAGAGTGCAAATGTAGTAAATGCTCATAATGGAAAAAAGATATTGTTGACTTATTAAAATTATAGGAGATGAAACCAGATATGAGGTATGTAGTTTTTTTGGTATTTACACCACTAACAACATTTCCTAAGGTTCTCTGGAAGGTAAACAGTAGAATTTAGAGAGAGAGAAAAAAACAAAAGCATAAGACAGTGGGTGGAGAAATGGTTCAACAGTTAAGAATATTTCTTGCTCTTCCAGAGGACCAAAATTTGGTTCTCAACACCCACATCAGGTGGCTACCAACCACCTCTAACTCCATTCAGGGGATCTAATGTCTTCTTCTGGCTTCTCTGGCACTTGCACACATGTGACACACACGTAAATAAAAACAGATTTTAAAAATGAATTTCAACAAATAGAACATTCCTAACAGGAAAGAATAGGTCATTATTCTTTGTAAAGTTCAGTTGGATAATACTGTGAAGGGAGGTTAGGAGAGTATATGAAACAGCTTGGACCAATTGTACTCACATATTTAGTGAATCTTCTTTGTTATTGTGATAAAATTAGAAATGTATAAAGTGGGCCTAGTCGATACCAGCCAATAATCTGATATAGGCATGCACCCCAGCGCTTCAAACTGAGCATAAGCCTTCTGCTGCAGTCCAGCATTACACGTTGAGGGAAATGCACCAGAAATGTGTGACAGGATCTATTCTCAAAAAAGCATTGTAAAGTTGAGATTGGTGATAATTTGCAAGCTGAACTGACTGCGATAGCTGGATTTCTTGGCAGTGATGCGGACCCGCTATGTGTAGCACAGGAGAAAGCCTTGAGTACATTAAATGTGTTTTACGTAACTGCTCTAAGCCTGTTATATAAGTGGTTCTTTCTCTACATGCACGAAGAGGTAAGAGCTTATTTATCCATAAGCGTTAGAAATGAATACATCTGAACTGGAAGCAGAAAAATGATTTACTTAAGTCCTGCTGGGAGGTGACACGGTCAAGCTTACAGGCCAGATGGTGTTCTTGAGTTTCAGTCCTCACAGGTCAGAGCTCTCCTGGACATACTTTGAGGTGGGAAGACCACTAAGGCACAATCATGGTGATTTGGGGAATGATTTTGTTGTTCTAGCTTTTTGCAGCTATGTTCCCTTATTATTTGTGTTACTTCTAAAGTGTTCCATTTATTAATAGCTTAAATCCAGCCAATAAAAGACTTTTCCTCTTTATTATATGGGGTTTCTTTGTGCTTATAGCTGGGTTCTGAAGTAACGTGTGAGTGTGTGTGTGTGTGTGTGTGAGAGAGAGAGAGAGAGAGAGAGAGAGAGAGAGAGAGAGAGAGAGAGAGCGAGCAGGAAATGCTGAGGGGTTCTTGCTGTTTCTGGTATTTAAGTGGGTTAACCTTTCTCCCAGTATAAATCTTGAATATCTGCCCTTTTAAGACAGTAGTACACACAGAATGAAACTGTTAGCAACAGAAAATAAGACAGGAAAGCAAGTGAATTTAAGGTTGGTTATAAAGTGAAGAGAGACTCCAAGTAATACAACCAGGTAGCAAATGGGAATTTTGGGACAGACCTAAGCTCTAGAAGTAGGTTCAGTGTCAGATTTGGAGAGAGGTTCCCTGGCATTTGAGCCTACACATCTTCATATGAGATGAAGTTATGTATGTTTACTGCATGCATACACTACAAATATGTATGTTCACTACAAATGAGGTGATAATAGAGGTTTAAGAAAAAGAGGAAAGAACAAGAGACCGCCTGAAAAATACATATGATCAAATCAGAAAGTCAAAAATCAAAGGCAGTACTTGATTTATATGCAAGCAAGCCATCACTTGAAAATTCCCTCATGTTTTTAACAGCAGTGTCACAGAATTTCTAGCTCTCCCCTTGACAGAGAGCAAAAGCTTCTTCTTTTTTAATTCCCTGAGTAAAATTCTTTTGGGGCACTAATAGTAATTATTGAAGTTAAAAGATATTTAAGTACTCTAATTGAAAGTCGTTTATTCACCCAGAGGCCAGCAATAACACTGGTGGGCAGAATATTTGATTCCCCTCCCAGCCCATTCTGCTTCATAATAGTGCTGATGAAGCGAGGTGTCTCCCGGCCGAGTGATTCTGTTTCCACGGTAACGTAATTCTCGGCTGCATTTCTTCAGGGATGAAGGACAACTGCTCAGTCTACGACATGTGTGCTGGAAGGATGATTAGCAGTGGAGAAAGGAGTGAACCAAGACCAGGAAAGGTAATTTCTCCCTGGCTGTCAGACACAAAGGTGCCAGAACCCTAGAAAGCAAAACTACCATGTTCTTCTTTTGAAAAATTATACAACCAAATGGAGAAAAATTGCTTTTTGCTGTGACCTTCCCCCGAAGCAACTGTCTTGCAAAGGAAAGAAAAAAAAAAAGCAAAAACAAAAAAAAACTGAGCCAAATAACCAACTCTTTTAATTTCTTTAGTCATCACCTTACAATTCCCCAAACACAGTCTCTGTCCTGGTATAACTGTTCCTGTGGATCAGGCAGTTAACTGTCATTGAAGCCAACATCTTCAGGTTCTTCTATTTTATGCTCTTTTTGATTCGCCTCTTCCTGTCTTTTAGAACCACATGCCCCATGGTGTGGAATCTGTATCATTCTGTTTTCCTCTGTCAGTATGCAAACTTAGGGTGAAGCCGTGGTATTCAAGGAAACTTATCCTAGGCTTCCTATAAGAAAGCGGCTCAAATGGGAATGAATGTGGTTATTCTTCTTAGTTCATCTTTGTTTAACAAAGGTTTACTGGATGATTGTTTTGCACTGAGCACTGTAGTTTGTATTGGGGACACAAAGAACCCATAGTTCATTCAAATAACTTACATAAGCCATCAGGGGCGAGAGAGACGAGGTAGTAACTTTCTCATACTCAAGCCATGGAACACAGAGGATAGCCTCGTTTTTAGATCAACATTTGTATCTCATGTTAGTAAACAGCTCTTCTGAGACCCACCTGCTCCTCCCCCATGGTACTTATCAGCCTCTAACAATGACACTGGCCCAAGCTACAGATTGACTTGGTAACAGCTTAGCTTTCTTATCTCTATATTTCATGCATTCAGTAAGGATTTGTATACCCTTCTTCTATGGAAGTCTTGCCATCTCCATCTAAAATCTGAACAAATGGATCTGGCATCCATTGCTAGTTGTGAATCTGTTCTTCTGAGCCCTTCTACCAAATTCTACCATACACCTAGCTGAAATGCAAGTCTTATATTTTTGGTTGTCAGCCTAGTCTTTAATGGCTGTGCTGTCCCCTCTAATCCATCTAGTGAGAGCACAGAGACACCAGTTGTAAAGCTGAGGAAACAGCATTTGACCGAATGAAGCCCTCTGAATGTGGGTGCTCTCTAGGAAGCCTGAGTAGTCTATGGGACCTCTAACAGTGAAGCTAGTGTTTATCCCTAGTTCACAAGTGAACTTTGGGAGCCCATTCCCTATGGAGGGACACTATTGCAGCCCAGATACAAGGAAGAGGGCCTAGGCCCTCCCCTTCAAATGATGTGACAGTCTTTGATGATCCCCTGTGCAAGGTCTCACTATCCTTGTGGAGTGGGTGGGGGTGGGTTGGGGATGTTGGTGGGGGGTATGTGAGGGTGAAGATGTGGGGGTATTGATATGTAAAATAAGATGGTTTCTAAAAAACAAACAGAGACTAGAGGTTCAACTGGATAACAGAAAGACAAATGAAAAGAGAGGAAAAAAGAAAAGAAATACAGGTCTTGTTATTTCTCAAATTTCTGGAAACTAGGAGTGGCAAAGTACACCTTCATAAGCATGTTTGTATTGGTGTTATGAAATAAAACCATGTGTAAAATACTCCCCACAAAGTGAAAAGCGCTTTACTAGGAAGTAGTTTTCTACTTCTTGAGTTGGTGTCTGAAATTGGAACAGCTATCATGACCTCAGCTATCATGGGGTCACAATTTCTAAGCTACAAGCGAAGGAGTTTACAAGAAAAAGCTGTAAAGAGCTACACAGACCCTGGATTGCAGCAATGGAGATCTCTTGTTACAGATAAAAAATTAGTCCATTTTTAGCTCAGTCTGTTGTTTGGTTTTCTACTCAGAGCAGGCAAATGCAATCATCATCAATCCCAGTAGTCTTTCCACGGCTTGAGCTGTAGTGATGCAACCACAGTTAAAGGCCAAATCTGTCTCCTCCAAAGCCTGTGCTATTTCCTGACCTTTGTGCATCTCCAGGATTTGCCCCTGGCACGCTCATCAACTTTTAGCTCCCCAGATGATGGACATCCTCAGGGATGTGCGGATGCTGATGCTGCTGGGATTCAGGATGGTGCTGTGGGATAGTCTTTTCGTACACTGTGAAGATGTGTTGCTCTCATTGGTTTAATAAAGAGCTAAATGGCCAGTAGCTAGGCAGGAAGAGGTTAGGCGGGACTTGCAAACAGGGAGAGACTTCTGGGATGAAGGGTGGAGTTACCAGAAGACTCAGGGAGAATTAATGAGCATGCCGTGCTGAGGAAAGGAACCAAGCCATGTGGTAGAACTTAGATAAGAAATGTGGGTTAATTTAAGTCGTAAGAGATGGTTTGTAAGAAGCCTCAGCTTTTAACCGAGCATTTATAACTAATAATAAGGTTCTGTGTGGTTATTTGGGAGCTGGATGGCAGACAGAAAATTCTGCCTGCAGGATGGTGCTTCTTGGTGTATCCTGCAGCATCCAGTTTCACACAGTTGTTTAAATCTTCCTTCAACCCCCCAGTGCTCCTATCACAGCTCAGCTATTACTCCTATTTCCCACCAGCACAATATCCTAGAACTCACTCTTCTCAGAGACTAGGACTCTCAGACTTTGTTTTGTTATCGTCGCAAGAAATAAATCCGAGCATCCTCCAAACCTTGACCTCACTTAGGAGACTGGAGGCCTAAACCCAACACTGCAGCCTGGAGACCTTTCCCTCACAAGCCTTTCTTCTCTGTGTGGACTTTTGAATCCTTGACTGTGAAAATCCCATGTTCTCATTGTTTTCTCTGGAACTGACAGCTTCCCTGTCACTGTTTATGTGTGAGAGAATTCTATGATTTTTTTTAGCTTTTCGTCTGTATCTCCCACAACAATGACTGTGTATACTCCCCTAAGAGGCTGGCATGGAACACTCCCAACCCGTTACACGTGCCTAGAAGCAACTTAATCAAGCCTATCTATGTTTTGATTCTCCTTCTCCCTCCCTCTCTCCCTCCCTCTTTCCCTCTCTCTCTCTCTCTCTCTCTCTCTCTCTCTCTCTCTCTGTCTCTCTCTCTCTCCTCACTTCTCCTCTCTACTCCTTTCTTTTCTCCCTGTCCCTCTTAGAATATTCATTCTGATGAGCAATATTGAAGCATTTTCTCCAGGGCATAATGGCATGAATTCTCAAATAACTAATATTTCTTCTCACAAAGAGTCTGCCTACACACACACACACACACACACACACACACACACACTTATTATCCATCTATTTATTTTACATCTGGCCTGAAGTGCACCCCCCCCCATTAAAAGAGACAAAGCTTCAAGAGTACACAGAACTGCTGTCTAACAACAGTAGCTAACCTATTGAACCTCAGATATGGGAAACTCCAAATTATCTTCCTTTGAGTCTAAACTCACCCTCAGGAAAAGGCTTATGAGAAATTACAGTTCCCTTTCCACAGCCTTTTCTAGTCCCATTCTCTCTACACTATGTATGAAGTGAGTGTGTAAAGTAGACTGCAGCATACTCTTTTTTGTTTGTTTGATTTTGTTTGTTTGTTTTTTACGAGACAGGGTTTCTCTGTATTGTTTTGGAGGCTATCGGTCCAGCCTGGCCTCGAACTCACAGAGATCCGCCTGCCTCTGCATCCGGAGTGCTGGAATTAAAGGCGTGCGCCACCACCACCCGGCGACTGCAGCATATTCTTGATGGACGTCTTTAAAATACTTTGAAGCATCACAATTGTGTAAACACCTAAGACAACACAATTGTTAGGTGGGTTCTCTAATACTGTGTAACACATTGTTGTTCTAAAGCATACATGTTAAAACAATCGTTTGATTTTCTGTTACTGTTCTTTGTGTTCACTGGGCTCAGCTGAGTGACTTGTTGACTTTACTTCATGTTCTCTGGGATGTATGGGAGGACATCACTGCACAGTGATGCCCAAGATGGCTCATTCACAAGTCTGGTCCCTTGACAGGCAATCGGACATGTGGCTGTGCTGAGATACTGAGATGGCTGAACCGATTTCTGTACTACTATCCATTTTGTTTTGCCACATCATCTTTCCAGAAAGACAGAAGGACTTCTTTGGCTGGGGTACATGAAGAGACATTGTTCTACTTTCTTGAGGCTTAGCCTAGTTACCGTCACAATGCATTGTATGAGTTAGAGTCAATGTGGGTCTAGGCTGCTTGGCCATGTGGGAGCTGGAAGCCATGGTTCTTCGAGAGTAGTCTTTGGGAAACCAGCTTCAGAAATTATCACTCACTCAGCCATAGAAGTGACACTGGATAAGCTAGACCTCTCTTCTTAAAGTAAAATACATCATTACGTATATGAATTATAAAGGTACATAGATACTAGGAGACATAGAGAAACTACATAATTTAAATCTTATTTTTTGGAAATCGTGACTACAGCTTCCAAAAAGAATTTGTGTTATACTCAATTGTTATGTAAAAACAAACTTTATAAATAGATATGTACATTTAGAATGGCTAGGATAATAGCAATTTAGTCGTATCATGTATTAAGTATTAAAAACCAGTGCTGGGTATTCTTTACACTTGATTTTATTGAATCCTCATAAAACTCATATGAGGTAAATACTACCAACTTCAATTTCCAGATAAGAAGTTGAACTTCAATCAGATTTCATAACTTGCCTGCAATCTAGCAATAGAAAGAGATGGAATCTAATTCAACTTGATACTAAAAGACATTATTATGCCCTTAAATTCTGTACCATCTTCTACTTTATTTGTCCTTGCTTGCTAGTTTCATAAACTGCTGTAGAGTATGTTCAGCTTCAATATAAACAAGAACCAAAGCTCATCTCTAGAGATTTTAAAACAACTTTCCTATCTAGATTCAGTCTGGATTTTAAAATCCACTTTCTATTTTGGCATTGGAATCTTACAGTTTCCTCATCCCTCTCAGATCTGCAAGCATACATATCTAGTTATAAACTTGAACCTCATCCAAATACCAAGGTGTGTTGGGTAAATT